TGATCCTTCTTTAACCTTGAACTACAAGGCCAGTAAATAAACAGCTAACTTTTGTAGTTGTGGAGATTTAAAGAGAAAGATCCTATCCTTTTCCGGACCCTGCAGTTTCCCCCAAGGTGACCACTGATGTCTCCTCTTATCCTGGGTCTGCCCTGCCCACAAGCTTCTCTGGCCACCAAAGCACAACAGGGCATCCAGAACATAGTTCTCCACCCCCACCCGAGAGCCAGTGGTCACAAGCCTGTGCTCTGCTCCACACTTGCAGAATCCAGGTGAATTTTAAAATAGAATGAATGGAGACCCAGTTATGTAAAAAGTCACCTCTGGCCTCCTGTTCTGTCGTGGGAGTTAAGACCAGCTGGGTTGCTCCTGGTATCAGTTTCCAGTGCCTAAGTCTCTGTGATCTGCAGCAGAAATTCTTACAACAGGGCCCTTAGAAGTCTAGTTCTCTGATGGGCTGCCAGAGGCAGAGTCCAAGGCATATCTATGCAGGCAGACTTTTTACTGAGTTCCTAGGGACTGGGAGAAAACTACCAGAAGGAACAGGCCCCACTGTGTTCTACATCTAGTAATCTACAACTGTCTTGGGTGGACAGTGGGATTGACTGGCAACTGCATATTTATCTGGTTCCATTGCTAAACTAGACAGAGATGACCACACAGATGGGAGGAAAAGATCGAGAAGGGGGAAAAGACAGGGAAGGGAGTGAGAAGCACAATCAATACATTGAATGAAAACACTTAAAATCTGGTTTTTCCCTCCTAAACCTCCTTCTCAGAGGGCCAGCTCAAAATACCGATGCCCTGCTAAGAAACATGTTCAAGGCCATGTCCCTCTTATGGAACCAAGAAATTAGTCACCCATGAAAACTTGGAGTCACATTAACAGCACTGATCAAATTTGGCTAATAAGCTTGGGTTACGAGATGACATCCTATTAGTTCTCACTTCTCAAACAAGTAATGGCATAGTTTTTAAAATATTTTGGGGCTGCTGACATAGTTCCATGGCAGAATGCTTTCCTAGCATTTGTAAGAACCTCAATTTGACCCCCAGCAGCCCCTCTTCAGCGGAAGAACACCTAGAGAGGCAGCACTTGCATTCAAGAGGGTCGCATAGTTCAATGAGTATCAGGCCCATTGGTGAGGTAAGACTTTTGTCTTCACTCCACATCGCAGAATTAAAAACATTAAATAAAAACATTCTGCTAGAGAAATAAAGTGTTTAAAATCTATAGATGTATGTATGGTTACACTTAGCCTATCATGTATGTTTTTCCTCTAGTCTTAATAGATAAATTTAACATATTAGCAAGAGTAGAGGTACATCATGTTATTTTAATAGAAATAAACCAGATCATGAGTTCCTCAATTTCATTCTCCAGGATAAAGTTCCTATAATCTCTTATTCTGTAAATGAAATTTCATTTGATCTGACTAGATTTTGACAATTTGAACATTTAAAGAGATTTCTTGATCTAAATAATGCATTTCACTGAAATTCAGAAGCAAACACAATTGTAAAGCTGTAAGATGCCCTTGCTCCCACTTTCTGAGGGAGACACAACTGCTGAACTGGCTGCTTTCTTTCTCCTGGTAGAAGAGCTCCAGTAAGATGCTCAGATCTGACCAATACATCACTTCTGATCATTTTACAAACGAGAAAACTCAGACTCAGAGCTCAGATGTGTTCCCCAGATAATCACCTCTGCCAACTGGCCAACCCAGGCTACTGTTCCTTCCACTGGTCTTCCCAGTGCCCCACCCATGCCCAATTCAGACAAGACAGGGAAAGGCAAGCCTGATCTTGCAAATTGCCACCTGCCCCAGAGACACCCCCTCCCCAGAGAGCTCCTTAGGAGACCTCCCCATGCCAGTCTTTGTTTATGCCGGCAAACAAACTATAGTTCTGTGCTTTGTGCACAGAACACAATGAGGAACATAGGCCCTAATACTTACCAACCTGAGATTTGGTCAGAAAAAAAGCAGGTGGTAACTTTGAATGATGGTATACAGCAGCACATGTGGTAGGTGGAAATGCATGTCTAAACTAAAATTGGTCTTCGACATTGCTCCCAGCAGAGGGATACCTAGCAAACCTCCTAATCTTCCCAAACTTATTACCCCACCTGTAAAATTAGCATAAATTGTGTACAGAAGGTAGAATTTTGTAAGCATTCAAAGAGAGAGAAAGATAGAAATAGACAGAGACGGGGCCTGTGAGATGGCTCATGAGAGAAGGCACTTGTGGCCAAATCTGATGCCCTGAGTTTAATCCCCTTGTCCCGCTTGGTGGAGTGAGAGAACTGGTCCCTGGACATTGTCATCCTCTGCAAGCCCAAGGTCTATCTATGAAGCTGTGGGTGGGGGTCAGTAATGAAAGGAAGAGAAGAAAGAGACAGAGATTAAAAGAGAATCCCAGAGCACACAGCAGGCTCTCTGTGTGTGGAAGTTCACAATGCCTGAATGTCAAGCCGACTCCTTTGGCTGGGTGAACTAATGGGGATGTCTACTTTGTTGTGAAAGTACACACGGAATCACACTGCTCCTCAGGCCCTACACCACACGAAAGAGGCACTATTGAGTCTAAGACCTCAAAATGTTTGAGTTAATGGGCTGACTCCCAGAATGGTGTAGTCTGCTATTCCTCTCAAAACTTTGACAGAGTTCCTACACAGAGCTGGATCCCTAGAGGAAAAATGATGGCAGTCTTCAGCAGACTCGTCCCTCTGGCCCACAACTCAGGATTATCTTCTATGTATTTTCATGGCACACTCTACTTCCCACACTTACTGCATTGGACTGTAACTGTTGATTGACTTGTCTGCTTTGTCAAGGAATTTATGAGCTCTACAACCACATGACTGACTTAGTGCTAGTCTCATATTTGAACCCCAAACAGTCTCCAAGTAAATTTCTGAATGAAAACAACAACAACAAAAAAGTTAAACAACCTCTTTTTTAAAAAATCAGCTTAAGGAAGTTGATGTTCTCCACGCCTTCATCCCAAACCCAAGATTGCACCCTCTCCAGTTTCCCTTACCAGGAAGAAAAGTTTCTATTTCCAACATTTAGGCCACTTAGGCATCTGTTTGGGGTGTTGCTCATCACATTAATCCACTCAGTAAGTTGTGCTTCGAAAGAAGAGCCAGTGCTCTGGGACAGTGGTACAGCAGAGGATGGACCACAGTCCCTTCTTGGAGAGGCTCACGGGATAAGGGATAAAGGCTCTGATTTTCACAGAAGCCACTAGACATTAGCCAAAATATTTCTGGATCAGTAACCATATCCTATCATCAACTTGTCTTTCTAAAAATTACAATGTGGTTTCAGGACCTGGGACGTAGCGTACATGCAGTTTTGGCTGGATAAAGAATAATGGGTGCTGGAGTGAGCTTTGATTGACTGTAGGTGATGCTGAGAATCAGCAAATGCTGTCTCAGCTTTCTGTGATAAGGCTGCTTGGAGCACCTGCTGAGGTGACACCACCTGGAGAGTTCACTAACATTCCAGACATCCTCCTGGGAGCAGGTGATAGTTTTAAGAAACACACTGTGTGGAAGTAGATGAGGCAGAGCTCTTTGATGCCACAGCAAAATATATTCCAGGCTTCAAAGAGATCTTGGAGACAAAACTCTGGCTAAATAACCTTCCAAAACTACCAGCTGCCAGAACACTTCCTGCTTTTAAAGCACATTTGGTCAAAGCATAAGCTTCGACTACCATTTACCTATAATAAAAATAACTGATACTCAGAATTTATTTGGCCTTAAATTTGTCTGCCTGGCTTTTTCTTTTTCTTTTTCTTTCTTTTTTTTTTTTTTTTCACTTGTGGAAAGGGACCTTATTTCTACAAACTTGCATGGGGCTGGGCATGCAGTTGGTATGGCATGCAGTATTTCTGTTTTTGCTCTTGTTTTCAACCGGTAGCAGTAGCCCTGCATAAGGTCTTCCTGGGGTGTCAGTGCAGGTCAAAAGAGGACAGAAACAACCCCCATCAACTTTGGAATTCTCTTGTCTTCTCACTCATCTGTCTGCTTGCCATTTTTTCTTAGGATAGAGCACGCTCTCAAAAGTCACAGAAATAAGACAAATGGGGAAAGCCATCACAGAACCCAGCTAAAATCCGGTATATTTGATGCCATGCTGAAAACAAATGTGTATCTAAATGACATAACCCCCAGCAGCTTCTCACCTATCCTTTCTGTTGCCAAAGGGGACCTGAAGCTGAGGGTCGAAAGATCAGCACTTTTTTTTTTGTAGCAACTCTGAAATTAAAAAAAAAAAAAAGATTCTCCAGAGAGAAGTACAGGAAAACTAGGGCGAGGTGCCCCACCCCACGTCCCGCGCGCACCTTTATCCTTTTTACTCAGAGGGTAAACCCAGATGTGTTTGGGTAAAGCAGCTACATTTTCGCCCAAGGATGCTAAAACGGAAATGCCCATCACTTCTTTGCTCTTCAGATTGATGCAGTCTCACAGTGACCTCCTCTAAGGACAATGTGACAGGACGAAAGGTCGTGACACTCCCAGGTCTAGTCAGGCAGTCACGGAGGCTCAGCCCAAGAGCGCCCCCCGCAGAGCCCGCTGTTAGCCAATGGGAGACTGAGGTTTCCAGATGGTGAGCTACGGTTCTGCAGCTGGGCCAATCAGACGCCAGGCGGGGTCGGGGGAGGAGATGCGAGGAGAAGCTTGGGGCGATGGAGACCCAGAGACATCAGCAGAAGTTTCTCACCTTGGAATGTGAGGGACGCTCCGGCATCTCCAGCACATACCCACCTCTGCCAGCGAGGACCTTAGGCTACTTTCTCCACCTCATCCTCCAGGGGCCTGGGCGACTGCTGATAGTTTCTGTCCCTGCAGCCCTTTTTAATGTTACCTTCCAGAAGAAAGAAAACAAGGAACAACTGGGTGCTAGGGAACTGACCTCAGGCCCTGCGGGTCTCTGGAGAGAGGGGACAGGAGAGGAGTGGCCGGGGCTGGGGGACTCCATGCGTGGGCCATGGACAGAGCAGCGCTCCTGGCCCTGCCCAGCTTGTGTGCGCTGTGGGCAGCGGTGCTCTCCCTGTTCCCCTGCGGAACTCAGGGCAACTGGATGTGAGTATGGGCGCTGCGGAGGCATGAAGGGTAGGTGGCCAAAGGGATGGTCCGTGCCAGGGAACTTTCAACTTAGGCCAGGGGAGGAGGAGCGGGGACCCTGGGACCGCTGACCCAATGCCTCTAGGGTAGGGGAGGAGAGCAGGGGGCGGCTTACTGCATGGGGCGCCGTTTCTTACAGGTGGCTGGGCATTGCCTCCTTTGGAGTACCGGAGAAGCTGGGCTGTGACGGCTTGCCGCTGAACAGCCGCCAGAAGGAGCTGTGCAAGAGGAAACCGTACCTGCTGCCCAGCATCCACGAGGGCGCCCGATTGGGCATTCAGGAGTGCAAGAGCCAGTTCCGACATGAGAGATGGAACTGTATGGTCGCCACCGCCACCTCCGTCCCGCTCGCCACCAGTCCCCTCTTTGGCTATGAGCTGAGTAGTGGTGAGTCACCAGGACCCTTGGGGTTGGTAGGACATAGACAACTTTTCTGCCAGTGCCTTCCATAGACAGAATAGTGACTGCATGGTCCCGTGCTCGCAAGATCTTCAAATAGGGAAATCGGGGCGACAGGGGCCAGACCCCAGTTTGCAGGTGCAGCCCTACAGAGGGACACCCCAGATCTGCAGAGGGACACTGAGAGGGCCTGCAGTTCTCCGTCCTTCCCGTGGCCCCTGCTAAAGTTGCAGAAAAACTATGAGTCCCCACCCCGACGACCCCTTGGACCCCGTGGTGCCCCGCTCCGTGGGTGACCAGCTGGACAAACATGAGGTCTGCAGCCGGGAATTCTGCTGCCGCATCTGCTTTGATTTAAGCAGCTCTGTGGTGCACAGAGCTGTAGACAAGTGGCTAACTGAAGGACAGCCGCCACACGTTTCATTGACTCCTGGAAACACCAGGTTTAGTGCACAATGGTGATTTTTAAAGTGACTGTCACCTGAGCGCAACTTCTTTTGGATCCCCTGGTTTTCTGTTCCTTCCACCTCTCCCTGACTGAGCGCATTTTTTTTTTTTTTTCGCGATACGGGAAAGTTCCGCAAAACAAAAAAAAAGTTCTTCCACGTGCGTGGTGACTTAGCAAGGATAACGGTACTCAGAGGCAGAATGCTTCCCGGAATATTAGCAGAGTCAGCGAGTTTTAGGCCCCGAGGTGTTGAAAGATACGCTCCCTGTCGTTTTTAAAAGTTCGTTTCGTTCGTAGTGCTCCTTTGACCCTTCCCCACTCTGTTTCGGCATGTGCCTCCCCAGAGCTGCGCCTTCCCAGCTCTGAATTTTGGCTGACAAGTGCTGAGGATGGGTCCCTGGCCTGGGGGTTGGGGTTGAAGGGTAAGAGGCTGGAGGAGAAAGAAGGAAAAGTAAAAAAAGAGAAAAATGGTGTGTCCTAAACAGTTGCTGAGGTGTAGAAGCATTGGCTGGCGAAAAGGCTTATTGGATAACGGGCATGAGTGAAACTGTTTCTATTCCAAGCTAAACATCTGAAAAGAAAAAAAAAATCGACTGCTGAGTCCTTTCTAGTCTACTTTATGAATGTTTTAATGGAACTTTGATTTCAAAGATTTTAACGTCAACTCTACTGACCGAGTGCAAAATGCAACCGTTTCAAACAGGATACCCTTCCACAACAATTCTTTTTGCAAGTTTTCAATTATCTTTTATTAGTTTTGTGGGTATAAGGTCAGCTGAACTGCATAAAATGTTAACTACTTCGTAGCGGCGATATTCATTATATTCTCCTTTAAAAAAATCTTATCTTTAATGTGAAAGGAAAAGAATATTTATATAGCAATTGTCCTGATTTTTGTTAATTTTAGTTTGCATTCTGACCTGTATTGTCTATTCAAAGAAAAATCGCACCAGAATTTTCCGTATGTATTTTGTGAATGCAGCATACTTTGAAAAAAAGGATAAGAAACCTGTTTCTTTTTCTGATGCCATTTACATTGTCCATGCAACGGATTTACATTCAATGTGTACCAACGAGCTACTACTGTCCATGAAACACTAAGATAGATACCAGTGAGGGTTACAAGTTTTAAAAACAAGCATGAATTTTAATATATGAGTAGAGTGGGTGACAATATGGCATGTGACATCCCATAATGTGGAATCCAGAAAAATAATGCTGGTTTTTTTAGTCTAAAATAGTAGATTTCCTTTCCAATACTCGCCCATTACAGCATGTGTTGTGAACACTTGAAAAGTTGATTACCTCATAAGCCAATGAGTAAGTGCTTTAGGACTGAATTTCTTTTCTTTTTTTTTCTTTTTTTTTCTTTTTTCTTTTTTGGTTTTTTGAGACAGGGTTTCTCTGTGTAGCTTTGGAGCCTAGGACTGAATTTCAACAGAAAATGACAGCTCTGTAATTTATCAATGTTTTCTCCCTAGGCACCAAGGAGACAGCTTTCATTTATGCCATCATGGCTGCAGGCCTGGTGCATTCTGTAACCAGGTCGTGCAGTGCAGGAAATATGACCGAGTGTTCCTGCGACACCGCCTTGCAAAATGGTGGCTCACCAAGTGAAGGCTGGCATTGGGGGGGATGCTCTGATGACGTCCAGTACGGCATGTGGTTCAGCAGAAAGTTTCTAGATTTCCCCATCAGAAACACCACAGCAAAAGAAAGCAGAGTACTGCTAGCCATGAACTTACACAACAATGAAGCGGGAAGGCAGGTATGTATTAGAAAAATAAATAAGACCCCAGCAGGATTGGGTAACTAGTACTTAGGGTTAATGCTTCTGGGTGAATCCATGCCAATGAATTTAAAACCAAACACTGGCAGTAGAAGAAATAAATAGGCATATATTCTTTCCTGAGTTTGTATTGACTACATTGGTAAGCTTTCTTAGGGAACATGCTTTCTTAGGGAATAAATATTTATTTATTTAATTTTTTTGTAAAGCAGAAGTTTTTATGGAAAAATTGTTTATTTTATCAAGTAATTTAGATTCAATTAAGACTATAAAAGAATCTGAACATAAAGCTATGGCTGTATTAAAGGTAAAGACATTGTAAAATATAGCTATATTAAAGATAGGTTGAAAGGAGGTGGCTGCAAGGACCCAGAACCTCGTGAACATCTTTATGAATTCTGTTTTAAAAAATTTTTTTAAAAAGGAATATGTGTGTACCCTACTTAGCTTTTATATATTTACATCACTGACTATTGATACAATAAAGTTTGGATTCTAAAACACTGTTGAATTGTTTGGCAACTCACCGTAACTTTCCTAAAAGGCTGTAACATTTTTATGAATACATATTTTCTGTCACAGTAAATTTTTTAAGACAGATACAATTTTGAATTTCCAATAACCTGTGAAGGTCCCAGTGTTGTTACCATAATCTGCCACATCCTCCTGAAGTAAATTCAGACAATTTGCAACATCTCTTAGGAATAGTTAAAGTATATGTTGCGTTTGTTTTTTTTTTACATTTTTGGCAAGTGAATAATGGAGCTCATTCACAATGTTTGGAAGTTCTAGCCAGTTTTCTTTATTTAACTGCCCTCATTTAAAATACAAAAAGCCAGAAGACTTTGAGTTATCACCATAACTCAAGTTTGTATTTACAGTCCCATTTAATTGGAATATGCAATTCAAAAAGTCAAAATAGAAAACAAGAAAATCCATAAATAACTTATGCAAGTTTCCCATGTTTTTTCTTAGGAGCTTCAGAAAAGTTATTTGATTTCACTAACATTGCTTTTACTCTGCACCACAGTTAGGTGCATACTTTTTTCCTTGGGATTTTCCATTGTGAAAATAAGAGTGAAATGTTGATTGATTCTAAATAAAGAAATATCTATTATTTCTAACATTTTCATATGAAAGAAGGAAATGCAACAAATATTGTTCTCTTAACACTAGCATTAAACTGAAGGTACACCAAATCGCTTTATTTATTTAAAAACTGAGAAAACAATTACATAAATATTCATTATTTATCATTTTAAATGGTTTGATAGGGATTTAAAAATTTAACAAAGAATGAAACTCAAAAGTTCATTTTAGGATTAACTCTTAAATAAATATAGTTGTGTCTCAGCCTATGGAAACCTAAAACAATTGTATTAAAGAAAATTAGTTTTATTAATAACATTAAGTTTTATTTCATCTTGTGTGTTTTCAAACTAGGCAGGTGTATTTGGCTCTATCATTGTTAATATTAGTATTAAACAGTTATTTACAATTTGATTTTGGTTTTTATCTACAACAATTTTAATACAATACATTGTTGGCTAGGGAAAAACTCAGTTTCCCCATATTACATAGATTTTTGCTATTTTTCTGTATCTGCAAATAACAGTTCAGCCTGTATAGAGGTACACAGTTTATGCAGATTTCAGTTTCCTTTCTTTTGCCTCATATTATTCTAGATGGAATCCTAAAATATCATACAACATTTACCTGGTTATTCTGAGGGTAATACATGGGTGTTTCATTGGTCTTTTTTTGGGAGGTATTCTAATTCAAAATATTTTTGTATGTTCCTTTCCACTGCTAGCTTTAAAAAAAAGTCTAAATAAACAAAAAGGAGGTTTCTCTAACATGGACAAGAAGCTGACTCAATTTTTAATATTGGACGTTATGATTTTGATCTGTCAGGCATATTTGTCTGAGTAAAGTTTAAGGTCTGCATTCAATTGAGCTGGTTTTTCTAGCCTCAAAATCCCAAACTCAAAATGTAGGAAAGTGTTCAGAGAAATGTGGGTACTGGCGCTTAGTAGCACTGTGAGCAGGATAGATGATTTTCTAACCGCTGACCTTAAATACTCTGATTCCCACTTGGTTTCTGACACCATTCCTAAAGTTATGACTCCAAGAATAATGTTGCTGGGCGGTGATTGGCTGCGAGAATGATGTGATGTCTTCCAGGGGCAGAACTTCTGGGAATAATGTGACTTGGAATATTTATGGGTATTTCTTTTGGTGTGCTTAAAATATTTCCATTCTTACCATGCCTACCTCATAAACTTTTAAGTTTTCCTACCCCATAATTTGTTTTATTATGAGTAACTCAACAAAGTGGGATGGGCAGACCCCAAATTTTCATTGACCTGTTTCAAGAATATTTATAAGTAGTTGAACAACACAACTGTGTTTTGCTTTACAGCAGGTTCAAATTTATTTTGGGATAGAAAGGGACAGAGGAATAGGGATCCCACACGCACATCCGTCCAATCTTAACTTGCAGAGTTCTGAAGTTAAACAGATCCTCCGATGGCTGACACAATGAAATGTCGGTTACAGAATGTTCCACACCAGTTTCTGGCCATTCCTAGTAAATTTGGGTAAAGCAATATGTAGAAAACAATCTCTGCCCACAGCATTATCTTTGATTCAAAGTTGTGGGGCAATTAGTCCTTAAATCATTTCTTCTGTAGCATCTGCTTTTGCATTGAGTTCCAGTGATACATCCTTCCCATTTTACTTCATTAGAAACCAATCAACCTGAAACTTCTATGAGGAACCCTGTAGATTAAATGCCACCTTCCTAATTGCTCTCCTATAGTTTTACACTATTCCACCAAAATGCGCACATCTGTTTGCAATAGTTAACAAAACATTCCTCTGCTAACGTCGTTATAAACCTTAACAACTCAACTAGAGGAGAGAGGAATTTTCCCATAACCACACACAATTCATTCAGTTGCTATTCTCTTTCCAGTTACCAGAAAATATCAGAGCCACCACTGCGGCTCACACTATATGTTTAACATTAATTAAGAACTCCAGCAGGAAAGATACACAACACACATTTTTGAAGAGTTCCTGGAATATTTTTAAATATTCGTATATTTTCCACTTTCGTTTTCTGTTTTTCTAACTTTATCTTGCTAAGTTATAAAGACTCTATGACATATATCACCAATTTATGTAAGACAAGTGTCTTAATGACACTGTTTATTTTCCTATAAAATTGGAATCACAACTAAGTACCTGTTCATTAACTATTCATTAAGTGAAAAGAATTTCTTGCTATAAAACCAGATCAAAGTACATGATTTATGAAAATGTGTTCCAAGAAACACTAACATTGGTAAAGTTCAAGTCTATGTGTCTACCTGAAACTCCGAATTTCATAAAACCCGCCAAGCAGTGACTATGTTCCTCTACTTTAATTACAAGTTCTATCCTTGAAGTATTATGGGGACATCCTCATTCAAATTGCATGTGAAACTCTTGGGGTTCTACTTGAGGATCAGTTATGTATATAAGTTCTGGGGTAGAAAAATAATATATGTCACATTGATGAAAAGAATACTATTTTCTTCAATTTGTATTCTGGCTGCTTTTGATCAGAAGTCCTAGAACTAATACTTTAAAAACATAAAAGTGGAAAATTGTCAACTCCAGTATTAAAAAGAGCTGTTTTCTAGAGTAGGAAAATCCTTGAAAATCTTAATATAAGCTTAGTAGGTGACAAAATTGAATTTGCAAGCCTCTTTTAGTCTTCCAGATTGTGCAGCAATTTGGTGAGCTCACGCTGTTTGGGAGAGAGTTATGATGAAGCTGGAGGAGAGTCCTGCTGGCTCAAGGTCTTCCAGGACCATGGGCCCTGCAGCAGTGACTTTCCTTCACGGGTGTGATTTTTGTTACTCATCCTAGTCAGGTTAGCCACAGAGGAGGCATTAAAAACTGCTTGTGTGAGTGAGTGCATAGTCATTTGAAATGTCTCTACTCTGCTTCTCATGCTTTGCAAACCAACAGCGCTCATGTCTGAACTGGTTACAAAAAGAAAGCTGGGCTCTCCTTCGCAATGTGGAGGAAAGGCAGCTTTAAATCACTGAGTGATGACTATCAGGAACGCTGATCTGGTTTAAACATACACTTACTCTCAGGTCTGGGGCTCCTCGGACAATTTATTTTATTACCTACACTGATTGAGCTTTTTTCTTTTTCTTCATATTCTTTGGCACTTAAAATATGAACAAAGGTGGCCAGAAATTGCATTCATTTCAAATATTGATCTGCATGTAGACCTCTTAAAGAAACAGGATTTTGTGAATAACAAATGCCATGAGTCAGATTATCTGTGTGCTGTACTTTATATAGTAAGTTGTTCGTGTGTCACCAAAGAGTGTTTTTGTTTTGTATTGTTAAGAAATAGATGTTTATTAGTTTTGAAATTTTCTGAATAAAAATGGTTATATCCTATGATCTAGAAAGGATGGAATTTAATACCATTCTATTGTTTTAAATGTTACCAAGAAGTATTAAAAATTGTACAAATCAATATCACATGCTCTCATTTAAGGCTGCAATACAATATTTCTTGTTTGAAATATTCTGTGTGGTTAGACTGTTCTGAGCATGTTAGAAAACGCTGTCTGCAGACATATCAATTAAGCTTTGATATTTTGGAGTTTTGATAAGAAGTGTAAGTGGAAATTAAACTTCTTTCATGAGATTAGATGCATAATTTTCAACTTGTTGAATGGGTGGATTCATTTTTCATTCGCCCAGCATGTTGACAGAATGTCAACTCTACAACTAGTCCTGACGATTTATTAATCTGTTCTGCCATCGTCTGGGAACTGCAGGAAGCAATGTTGATACATAAGAGGTTACAGACCTAAAACTTTAGAGCTCTCTAGATTGCTATTTTAGGCTCATTGAAAAATTCATCTGAACTTTTACTTTAACTTTACCAAAGACAGGAACAATTAGACCTTACCACTTCAAACAATGAGCTACTACAAGTGTGTGTAAGCTCAGTTAGTGCTCCAGGCTGGATAAACAGAACTCAGCACTTAGAAATGAATCTAAAATTACATAAACATGGTTGTCTTTTCCTTTCTTCAAACAAAGTCCTACTGAACCTAGGCTGGCCTGGGCTCACTATGTTGCTCAGGCTAGCCCCAAGTTCACAGCTTTCCTGCCTCAACCTACTAAGAGTTGTGATTGCAGGCACTTTCTTCTCTCTTTTTATTATTTGTGTTAAGATAATGCTATTTATCCATCAAGGAAATGAGCTATATTTTCAGTTAATTTTCCAGAAAATCGGCAGAACTTGTCAGCAGCCTCCACACTGTAGCTCCTTCTCCCTTAGACAATCTAACTTGAGACAGACAGGGTTTCTTGTGTGGTCTGTGGCCAGGGCATAGCATGTTCTCAGTTCCCTTTTATCCCCTGACATCATTGACACTATAGTGACCAAACCTAGGAAGGCTCAATAGAACCAACCAACAGGTGTTGTCACCACAGGGTACCACCATATCATATAAGCAGCTCACTCCAGCCAATCAGATTCCAGGAGTTTGAGAACTGGTTACTGGGAAAGTTCTACTGGTGTTTCTGTGTGTACTGTGAAAGCTGATGTTGCTATGAATATAGTTGGACAAATGTCCTTGTGGTGTGAATGTGAATGTGTCCTTTGGGGATATGCCCAACAGTGGTATTGCAGGGTAGATTGATCCCTCATTTTCTGAGAAATTGCCATAGTGATTTCCACAGTGGCTGTACAAGTTTGCATTCCCACCAGCCATGGAGGACTGTTCCCCCTTTTCCAATCCTCTCCAGCATAAACTGAAGTCTTAAGAGAAAGTTGATGGCAATTACCCTGTCAGTGCTTTACATGATAATCACCCAAGGCTCTGGTTGAAGACATAGCTTTTCATTCTGTATACCTGGCCTAAGACAGGGTTGTTTACATTTCTTACAAGGGATGCTGGAGCTGGTGGTCCATGAACCATACTTTAAATAGCAAGACCTTGAATGGCATCAGAAACATACAGGCAAGCACCAGCATCCTTCCTGACTCCCCAAATGAGTATTAGAAATTATTAGAAATAAGAGTACTTTTCCTATGAAGTTTCAGATCATCTTTGGTAAGTAGCAAAAGTGGCTGTCTTTATAGTCATTTATTTTACAGTTCTTATGTAACTGTGTATTTAGTATAGGGAGTTATGCACATGCCACGTGCACTTGTGGAAGCCAGAAGACGCCTTGCAGGAATTGGTTCTCTCTTCTACCATGTGGTTTCCCAGGATTCCAACACAAGTCTTCCTGCTTGGCAGAACTCTATGAGTACCTGGCTGTCCCATTCCACCCCTACTGGTTTTAATGTGGCACGGGAAGGTTTTCTATGTAGATTCAAAACATTTAGACAGAAATAAATGACAAAATATTTGAACTCTAAACAACCTTAAAGAGGGTTTATGTTCAAACCATCATTTTTATAGGGGAAAGAGCGAGAAAGTTGAGTGGTTGTGTTAACTGTTTCTGCTGTTGAACGAAAAACTGCACAAATGACATTTGAACACAATCATTGTTGGTTTTAGGCTGTCGCCAAGTTGATGTCTGTGGATTGCCGCTGCCATGGAGTTTCCGGCTCCTGTGCTGTGAAAACCTGCTGGAAAACTATGTCGTCTTTTGAAAAGATTGGGCATTTTTTAAAGGATAAATATGAAAACAGCATCCAGATTTCAGACAAAACCAAGAGGAAAATGCGCAGGAGAGAAAAAGATCAGAGACAGACACCCATTCACAAGGATGACCTGCTGTACGTTCATAAGTCTCCCAACTACTGTGTGGAGAACAAGAAACTGGGTATTCCTGGGACACAGGGCAGAGAGTGCAACCGTACCTCAGGAGGTGCTGATGGCTGCAACCTCCTCTGCTGTGGCCGAGGCTACAACACCCATGTGGTCAGGCACGTGGAGAGGTGTGAGTGTAAGTTTATCTGGTGCTGCTATGTCCGCTGCAGGAGGTGTGAAAGCATGACCGACGTGCACACTTGTAAGTAATGTCTCCATCCAGCCCAGCCTAAGACTCCTCAGGAACAGCCAATGATGCAATCTAGAGGGCTCCCCTTACTAGGTACAGCTGCAGAAGGCACTATCTGCAATCCAATTGCAGATCCCTGGGCCAATCTGCGATTTCTTGTTTCTGATCGACATCAGATCACAAGGAGATTGTGAAGCCTGATTGAGATTCTAAAGTTGAAAAGGTTCGCAGTTACCTTTGGATGGTTTGGGGTATAGACCTTGACATATAGGGAATATCGATCTATCCCAGAAGGAAGGAAGGAAGGAAGGAAGGAGAGGAAAAGAAAAGGAAAAGGGAAAAGGAGAAAGAAAAAAGGCCCTTATCCTAGAGACCTGGCTCAGGCTCAGGATTAAGAGCCTAGAACAGGACACAGATACAGAAATCAGTCATGGTGCTGGCACAGCGATCATTTTTTAAAAGACATCTCTTATAGGAGGAAGGAGCAGTACACATGATTTGTATTTTTTCCTCGGTATTTTAATAGAGTTAACTATACCAAGTGTTTGTGTCTAAACAGAACAGGCTGAAAATTAACTAAGAGACAGGTGCTTGCTTTATGTTTTCATAAACTTCAAAAGAAAAGCCATTGAGAAGAATCCTCACTAAGAGATGCAACATCTCTTTTAAAGTATTTTTAAAGATGCTAAGCAATAAAAAGAACCAAAATGTAAGAAGTGAAGTATGAATTGGATTTGTAAGTGCCTTTAACCAAGAGGATTTTTCTAGGAAGTGGAAAAAAAATCTGTAAAGTTTATCTCACTTTTAATCTTTGGATTTATCCTTTTATTGTAGACCAGTTTCTAGCATTAAAAATTCAGCTGAGATATACTAGGAGGTGAAATTCTTTTAAAGAGATGAAAAATGGGAGTAAATATATAAAGCCCCTCAAATACATAAAGACAGTATTTTGTACAGTATTTTGCTTTAAAAGTTTTATATTTTGTAAATATGCTATTTAACTTATGTGACATATATTAGGACTTAAAGACATTTATTGTTAAACTCTTAGAGTGCTAGAATAATAAAGTTATGCCAAGAAATAAGAATAGCCTTCTTTTCTTTTTCATGCCACTAATTAATTCTTAAAACATTGAAAAAGAAGGTAATTGAGGCAGTTGCCTGGATGCATTTCTTTCCAAAATGACAGCTTTCCTTCTTCTTTTAAGAAAAACAAAAATTTTTTTTTTCTTTCTTGGTTTTTAAAGACAGGGTTTCTCTGCGTAGCCCTGGATGTCTTGAAAATGACAGTTTTTTTATGCTATAGATTAAAGTATGTTACAAAATATAAAAAAATTGTGTTCTTTCGGTAGCCAGATAACTGAGTTCTCTTTCCAACCTTATCTCTGCTTTATTATAACAAATTTAATCATGGAGCTATTAGATGGGTAAAGAATCTAAGCCAGAATAATGGTGAACCTGATACCCTGGGTATTCAGTATATTTTATACAAGGTTGCCTTTCCATTTGAATGTTGAGTGCTGGTTTTTATTTTTTTTTTCCTTCTTGTCTTACTTGTTTCTTTTGGATCTAAGGACAGAAGCCAGGGAGTTGTGCGTGCTAAGGAAGTTCTCTACCACCGAGCTAAGTCCCCAAGCCCTCGGTCTTGTTTTAATATTCACATAGGTATGTTCATATTTCACAAGACACCAGTGAAACATCACAGGGCTGCATTTAAGGTTATATTTTAATGTAAATGCTTACTCTTTCATACTTTGCTAAATATTTTGTGAAATATTTTAGGATTGTATGAAAAATAGTTTTTCTAAGCTCAGGATGGACACAGAGAATATTCTTTTTATTAATAAGAAATATTTATCAAGGATTTTAATCTATTTTCTATTAATTATTTTAAACCAATTGAGCAACAATTTGAGAAGCAAAACTATGGACGTTATCTAAAATTTGGATGTTAAAAAATCAAGACGGCACATTTAACTGTGACCGTTAAAGTCTAGCAGTTACTATTTGCTAAATGAGAAATATGGATGTGGCAAATGAATAAACACTGTGCTAATGTGACAGAGTTGCTTCCCATTCCTTATTCTCTGACTATAATGGGGGTGAGGCACTCTCTGCTCTTTTTTGCAAAGTAACTAATTTATCTGCACTGAAAATAATCACCCTTTTACTTTAGGAGAGAAAGACTATATTCTACTAATTAGAAAACTTTTCCTATTACCCTATCACCTGATGGAGAATCAGTCAACCTCAGATTCACTAACAGCTGGTAACTCACGCCTTTGCTTTCAAAACCAACCTGACTGCCCTTTCTAGGATGCCAAGGAGGAATTTCTTACTCTGGATTCCTTTCTTTCTTACCTTTGACCTCTGCAGGCATCCTTGACTTTTTCACCCATCTATCTTTATGTTTCAAGTGACAACAAACCCAGGCTAGATTGACTTAAACATTAAAGGAAGCATATTGACTCAGAAATTGAAATCTTGAAAATTTTAACTAGATCATCAGAAGCATTATCAGTAAGTATCTGCCATGGTCCTTAGGCCCAGGTCTCTCGATCACTTTCCACTGATATCTGGCTTTGTCCTGAGTGCCAGGCTCTGTAGCTGTTTGCCTCAAATTCTTGCACTCCTGACAGCTCCATCTCTGATCTGTTGGTCACATGGCCACCACATTTGCAGACCTAACCTTTTAAGGAAAACCAGAGGCCATTTTCTTATATACACTGAAGACAGGAGAAAGGGTTCCTTCCCAGAAGGTCTGGCAAAGATCTTCTGAGTTGATGTTGGCACTGACTGGTTAAATGTGCTTATATCTAAGCCAATCACAGTGACAACTGTGATTTGGGAGTGGGCAACAGGCATTCTTATCTGTCTAGTGGCAATCGGAGCCCTTGCTGGGCACCAGAAGTAGGTTTCAACTCCAACTAATTTAGGCAGTTTGAGAGTAAGAAGGAGACGATTATGCATAGAGGAAAACCAGGCCGCTAATTTACCAGGATAGGGAACAAGAATGACCACCATGCCTAGTTCTGGTGATGTGCTTGCAGCGTCTGGCCTCAGGCAGAACTCACAGCCAGACAAATCAAACCCAAATACTGTGAACTGTGTATGTGGGGGCAGTTCCACTAATGTATTATTTTCTTCAACGTAAGAGTTTTAAATTTTTGTTGTTGTTTTCCTGATTTGGAACTAATAAGAGACAAAAGATCATCCTAATATGAAATTAAGGAAAAACAAACCAGGTGTGGTGGCGCACACCTTTAATTCCAGCACTCGGGAGGTGGAGGCAAGCAGATCTCTCTGAGTCCAGGGCAGCCTGTTCCCATCTAGTCGTGTATTGAACAATAGCATTATCTGTAACCTCTGCATTAGGTATATGGAAGGCATTTCTCTGATAACAGTACACTATAGAACCTATTCATTCTTTTCTTTTTTTCTTTTCTTTCTTTCTTTCTTTTCTTTTTTTTTTTTTTCAAGACAGGGTTTCTCTGGGCTTTGGGGGCTGTTCTGGAACTAGCTCTTGTAGACCAGGCTGGTCTACAACTCACAGAGATCCACCTGCCTCTGCCTCACCAGTGCTGGGATTAAAGACCACTGCCCGCTTTCATTCTTTTGAATATAAACAACCACAGTATTCTCTACTCCCAATTTGGATGATATCTGCTTTGTTCTATAGTTTAAGGAATTACACATGATACCAAGAGTATGGACATTTCATTACATATGTTCACATGCTATGATCTTACATGTCCTCGCAGCTTTAGAATCATGATACTCACTTCTTCTGAAGCATTGTTAGTACTGATACGAACAGTTCTATTGTTAAGATCAGTACTGAACATTTATCTGTGACCTTTAAAATTCAACAAAGTTATTATTAAATGAGGGAGATGGAGGCAGAGTGTTAGCCCTTTGAGAGTTGCTGCTAGTATTTGTATCACCTCCCATATGTCCTCAAAGACTGGAAAATAAGCCACCAGTTAGTTAGGTCCTTAGTCGCAGCACTATGATCTGCTAAGCTGACCTGATTAAGTTCCAATTCTTTCTCCAGCAACCACAAATAATTCCCAAGACAAAACCTTTCTAAGGAAAGCTAAATTTCACTGATTCTTGCTTTAATTTCAATTTTACTATGCAGCAAGTGAAACATGTCTTGAATAAAGAGTAGTGTTGTATCATAGCATGAAAGGGGACATCGTAGGATAGATACTATAGAGGCATCTTGCTTTGCCAGTGAACTTGCAGTGGTGGCCACAACCTATGGGTGTGGTTTCAGGTGTTCAGACGTGACCCCTTATAAGGTAGAGGAGGGGCTGGCTCATACTCTTGGGTTGCCATATAGCCACCGAAGGAGTAACATGCAGGAGCTTTATGGGTAAGCCACAGCCTTGTAGCAATACATAGTTTAATAGAAACGGGTTAATAATTAAGAGAGAACTAGCCAATAAAAAGCACGAGCCATTGACCAAACAGTTTACAAATAATATAAACCTCTGTGTATTTATTTGGGCTTCGGGACCTAGCGGGGCAGAAACTCTGCAGGATACCAGAGAGAGATGGGAGAGACTCACTTCCTTTGAACACAAATACAACTTTAGTAAACAACTTGATAGCATTTGCTGTATAGCTGGCATGGGCCAAAAATAAATATCATTTATATACATATGTATTTATTAAATTTCGTTCATACATACATATAGTCTTCACAACAATCCCATAAATTAGGCACCATTATTGTAGCTCCATTTCTCAGATGAGGGAAATTAGCATAGCAGCTGTCAGTCAAGTAGCCATCCATGCTCACACAGGATGGACCAGCTGCATCTGTTCCCTCCATAGCCACACTGTTCCTGTGCATCTCATGGGCTGAAAATCAGAGTTGATTAGGTTTACACCATGTAAAGACTTTGAGGGATCTGTAAGTAGAGTTAAATTACAGATGTTTCTTCCTAGTTTGGCTATGTAAACTTGGTTAAGGAGCTCAAAGTGATTAGAGCTAGCCTCTATTTCAGATCTCCGCAGCACAAACAGTTGGATTACCCAAGAAGTTATCAATCTTCCATGAAGAAATGATCTGAGTAACAAAACAATTTAAGTCAGCATAAAATAAATACACCCTTGCTGATGTGCTTAGAGCTAGCTGACTGCTTCGTGAGGTATTTCTTTTTAGAAAACAGATAACATTTGTGGTTTCTAATGGCTTATCTTCACAGACAAAGTAAAACTACGGGAGGGGGTGGGTAGGAGGGGGGTTGTACCAAGCTAAAGCTTTGAAAGGAAATGCTAGAGAAAGTAGCCTTCTGAGTGATTATAAAGAAAGGACAGCAGCAAATATGATACCAGTTGACACAAAATAAGGTTCATATGTATCCTTTTAATGAGCAGAGTTAAGTGGAAGCATCTGATTTGTAAGAATTGGAAGCAAAATGTGGTGGCATAAAGACTGTCTATTCCCTGTTAAATGGCTGGTCTCTAGAGCCAGGAGTAACTGATCTCCACAGCTGCCAAGAAACATTGGTAACAACCTAACAGCTGTTGTCAGAATCTGTATCTACCTAGTTCTGGGTATCTATGATAAGAAAAGGTAAGCCTGTGTCCCCATTGAGTCTTTCTGATGAGTGAAGGCCATTGCCATGTTTTACTGGATATTTCAACACAATTTAAACTCTAAGGCAAGTGTGTGTGTGTGTGTGTGTGTGTATGTGTGTGCATGGAGGGGGGGTGTCACACAGATTAAATCAATGATCTCCTTTTTCTCAGTACATAATCTCCACTCTTCACTAGTACTATGCACTACCATTCCTGCATCTTACACTTTCCGAAAACTAATATTTGCTTCTCTCAAGCTCTTTAGACAAAAAAAAAAAAAAAAATGCATACAGTAAGACAGCAAAATGGGAAAACCAAAAGTCAATGGGATGGATAAGTAGGGCCTTCTATTTAATGAGTAGAAGATGATTTCACAAAAACTAATTTCACTATTTTGAGAAATTCTTCCCTTTGCCAACTTGAAAATGTTTTCTCTCTTCAAATAACCAACCTATTATTTCTCAAAATACTACTTTAAATTTCATTGACTAAATATAGAAACCGCAAAACTCTAGTTGTCATAATACCTGCCACTGTGTCCCATGTCCAACATGCCCTGGGATTTAGAAACATAGGGAACCTACTCCAGAACACTTCCATAATGGAACTTTGACAGCATTTGCAAAATACACAATTGGCCACTCTGCTGGCTTTCAACCTCATTCTGACCATGAGTTCCCAGTTTCTGTATGAGTCTAGGAACAGGCTCACTCACTTACCTGGTATCTCACACTGTCAACCTGCTAAAGAGCAGAAAGCCACTGGGGGCAGAGCACATTGTCCACAGCAGGGACCTACGTCCTTTTCCTTCACACCTAAGGAAACTCACCCACGGAACCTCCTATTCTGCATTCTTGGACTTCCCCACTTACAGGCACCACTGACTTACTGGCTTGTCCATGAACTGAACATAACCAGATGACAGTGTCCAACAGAATTCATGCTTAAACCTTTCCTATGCTCACAACTGAACTCTCAAGACATTCTTGCTGTTCATTGCTGTTTTCGACAAAGAATGCAGGTCTCTAATCAGGTTCCCATTTTAGTTCCCAAGAGAATTAAACCTAAGCACAGTAGTTTTAGAGCTGAACTTGAAAATTATTGATTTCCATGTCAAGCTCAGCATGTGGAAACAATAATGCAAAACTTGACATTTAGTTTTAGGATAAGACAGTGGGAGTCACACTGGACTCTTAGCTAAAACCTGGATCCCAGGGGTGAGTGTTAACCTTTCTCTGCTCGAAGGGACATCTCTACAGAAGGTAACAATTCTGTTTCATAGTAGACATACAATGGGCCATCAACGTTTCCCTGGCAATGCAGAAAGGCAAGACTTGACAGATAATTCACTTGTCCCTATGCTGAGTTTATTCATATCAAGCTGCACCCAGTGGTACCAGCCTCACAGGTAAGGCAGAGCACATTTGAATGGTGGTTAACACATTGTGGAAAATGCCCTTGGAAACCCCCCAAAGCAAACAATAGCAATAATAACAAAAGTTTGAAAATCCCCATTTAAGATTCTCCCCTTGCCGAGACAGTCCTGATGGCAAGAACCTCCGTCATAGGTCCTTCTAAGCAAGTGGCGAGTCCTAGTGGGACTGAACTGAGGCCCATTGTCTCCCTATCCCTAATGATCTGCAGCCAGTTTTTAAGAGCCAGGACCAAGGTCTGTGTTCCCTACAAGGTTCCCCACACTTTTGTCCATAGCTATCCTGGCCAGCAGAGCCCTTTTTATTGGATTTGAAATACTGAGCACTTAGCAAGAAATGAAATCTTGGATTCTGCATGTGATGGGGCCCTTGGCGTTCCAAGTAATAAATGAGATAGAATGTGGAAGACATTCAGAGCCTTGGAAAGCTAAGATAGCCTCAAGTGTAGCTGCATCTTATCTGTTAATCATGTTACCGACCTGTCTGTCACTGACTTCTTCTCTGGCTTAGAATTTCAAGAAGGAGAGGAAAAAGGGATTTGGGAGGTGGGGACTGACTGACAATTTGGCATGTTACAATCAAAACCAAGTTTATGGGAGGAAAGCCACTCTGGTAAGGACCAGAAAAGAACCCTTACAAATGCTCTAGAAAAGGTAAAATCCATGCCTAACTTCTGCAGCTCCACAAGGTATACATTTGAAGAGGTGGGAGTAACTGGTTGGGTGGCAAACCTTTTACCCAATCAACAAGCATTTCTTCTGCTTTCATACCGACTTGAGAAGATGTCAAATGTATTTCCATTTAAACTGCTTTGCTCATTGAGCACAGTGCATTTCTCTTCTTTAAAACAGACTGGGAGAAAGGGTTGATAAAACAGAATGCATCATTGTGAGGTCAAATTATAATTTGTGTAGACCTTTGAAATATAAAACACAAGTTAATTATCATAAAACTTGCAAAATATTGGCTGATTTATTTAAAAACAAATATAACAAAATGATGAACTTAACTTGAACCAAATTAAGAATATAAATGTTCTCTTTATTTTTCCTATTTCCCAGATACCCGCTTATTTGCCCCTTTCTTTCTGTTTCCACACCCACCTCCCCCACCTCTGCTAGGGAAGCACCGGTGATGACGGAACTGCATCCGCAGACCCTCTCCCATCACTTGAACCGGTACATATCAGGGTTAGATCTTTATGTTAATGAAGAAAATTCTCAACATGAAATGAGCATCCTTTCACTTCTAAGACGGATGTGAAAATCAAACAGTCTATCATTGCTTCCAGAGTTAAGCTGGTGCAACCAGTACAAGACAGGATCTAGTGGAAAATGACTGCATGGTAGCAGTTGCATAACCACTCTTACCCCTCTAACATTTTATACAAGTGTAAAACCCATCTCGCCAGTCTTTAAAATTCAAAGGGATAGCCTGTTGTCAAGCAACTTAACTTCTACACATGTTCAAATATGTACAGAGTATGATTGTGTTTAATGGCAGAGACTTAATTTTTTTTAAATGTTTAGAAGTACAAAAAATTGTCAAAAAAAAAGATATCCTTGTGATGTTCTGCAGGTATAGTATATACTTTGCCAAACACACACACACACACACACACACACACACACACACACACAAACACACAAACACACACACAAATTCACAATGTGAAACAAAGAATACTCACATTATTAGAAAAAACAAAAAACAAAACCCTGCAACATTTATTTTCCAATCCCCAGAAACTGTAAAATGGCTTACAGAATCAAGGGAACTATTTTACATGTTGGATATGAGTTAGCACAGAAGCACCAGACCTCTTACAGGGTTACAAAACTTGTCTGAACAAGGAAGACGCGTCATCTTACAAACTACTACATTCAGGTTGTGGAAAGAAACAGTACCACCATGTCAGGAATAGTCAAGAAATATCTGAATTGCTTCTGGCTTCTTAACAAAATAGCAAATACTGCTCTTTGATTATTTTTTTTTTATACAAACCACCTAAATTTTAGGTTCAAATTTTAAGTGTTGCCTCAGCCCACAAAAGGCAGTGTTTGCTTATGTTGCATTTTAAACTATTCCAAATATGTTGCCTACGATAGGTATTTAGTGCTCTAATAAAGTAATTCGGACTTCTTAAATGGGCTGCTTTGCTATTATGAAGTTAGAAGTAAATAACAGAGTTTCTTGGTTTACAAATAAAAGCTATGATTAAAGTACTCCTAAGACCACAAGGTCAGTGAAGATAACAAAGAGGACAAATGCCCTCTTTAGGACCACACTAACCCGCTGCCTTGAGTAACCTGATTAGGCTGAGGAAGAGACTCGGCCTGGTTCTCCAGTTCTGTCCCACCCTCTAGGCTTACTCTAAACAGCTTATACAAAACAGAATAACGTACTTCACACCACTAACACAAAGTCTAGAAGATGAGCCCCAAATGATACCTACACTAGTGTTCATTTTCAGTGTTTTAAAATGTATTTTTTGTGCTTTTCACAAATCTGATGAAAATTTTTATGTGAAATATTTTATTTCTTGGATTCTTTGGAAGGAAAAATAAAGACTATGAAAAGAGGTACACCAGGAGCCAGACTGTACGATCACATTACACATACAACTAGCCAAAAATCTCTTTAATTTAAAGGATACTGTCAGCACATGCCAGATATTTATACAGAGACATGTATGAACAAAATTTCCTCCCTAAAAGGCATGTTTTCCATGATAGAGTTTCACAGCAACCAGAATGTAAATCAGTGTCCTATACAACCTTCTGGTTACCCATTGAATATATGCTTTTAGAATAAAAGTACATTATTGCCACTGAAGTCTAAACATTGTACTTTTAGGGAAATGTGCTTAAAAATGGTCCGGTGATTTGTTCAGTACGAGGGCTATTTACAAAGGTAGCCATTTATGTTAGCAATAAATAATCCCGGGATCAACAGAGACGCTCTTGCTCATGCACACCCTGGCCAGCCGCATGCTACTAAAATATGTACACGGAGCGGCTGCTTTACAGCTCTCCTTCAGAATCAAAGTGCGTGCGTCCTCTCTCTGGTCTTCACGTTCCCTTCAGTCCTGCTTCTGCGGGATGCACCCTTCCATCTCCACCACCTCAGGCCATCCTTCATACTTGTTTGTGTCCTTATTGTTCTTTATGTGCTGAGGGGACACAATGACAGTACACAGCTTAACGAACGTTTGGGATTTGCTAACCCACTTGCTCTCACTTCAGTTAACACATGTCAACAATGAGGTGACATAAATTACAGCTCAAGAAATTAAATGAGTGACCTTAGTGGGCGGGGGCTATGTGGCAAACCTTCAGAAAAACAAACAAACAAATAAACGCTTGTAAGGAAACTTCTACAGGATTACTTGTCCAAAGGTTTACATTCTATTTGAGCTCTGAGATATTTGTGAATTCAGCTGATCCTAGCACCAGAGTATAACTGAAATGCTTAATAACCGAGAATGATAGTGCATTGTTGTATAAGAGGGAAATAATTTTAAGGTTTAAAAAAAAATTTCTAAAATCACCATTATTTTAATTATATACCAAGAACTTAAAAAAATGTCTGAACATATTCACTATTTGCTTAATCTAATTTTCTTTTTGGGGGTGTGGAGGAAACCAGGTTTTTCTACACAGCCCTAGCTGTCTTGGAACTCACTCTGTAGACCAGGCTACTAGCCTCGAACTCAGTGATCTGTCCACCTTCCTCTGCCTCCTGAGTGCTGGGATTCAAGGAGAGCCCTGCCACTACCTGGCACTTAATTTTCAAATAACTGGTGTGAGAATATTATAGGAGAAAATTTCACTAATTTCCTCTTGCCCCTTAGTTATGAACATCTTAGACACTAACCTGTTCAAAGGGGCTTTTTGTCTTAATGCCCTTCCCACCACAGAAGACCCAGTTATCTCGAAAGCCAAGTGTGGTGATGGACGTGCTCCCCAGCTCAGCAATGAGCCGCCGTGCCTCGTCATTGAGCCTGAAAGAGAGGACAAGACATAAACACTGGGCATTGCACTTTTTTAAAAAAAGATTTATTATGTATACAGTGTTCTGCCTGCACGTATGCCTGCAGGCCAAAAGAGGGCACCAGGTCGCATTATAGATGGTAGTGAGCCACCATGTGGGTGCTGTGAATGGAGAGGAGCCATCTCTCCATCTGGGCATTGCGCTATTTAAATACTGAGAGACTCACTGAATATGAGGGTGAAAACATTTCAGATGAAATCAGAGAATATAAAAAAAATGAATACATAAAAAATTTTCTAAAACAACATTCTTACTCGAGTTCTTTAGAGATGAAAGGCAAAGTCAAGAAGCAAGCAGTTAATCAGAGAGCATCTGGTACACATCTGTATTTCCTAACAGTTTGTCTTCACCTGGTCATTTCTAAGTACATTCATCCTCAGGGAGACCATGGTCCTGCTAACAGACACGTATGGGGCTATCCAGGTCTTAAGCAACCAGTGTCTTCACTCACTCTTCACCAAACCCATTGTGAAATCCATGGGAATGGATGAGAAATGAATGCTGATGGATGCTGGAAGCTTCTTAGCACTGTCTTCTATTTAAAACAAATTTTGAGAATAGATATATAAACTGCATTGACTTATTTTAAAAAATGAATGTAGGAACCACATGAGGGCTAAATGTTTACCAGGAAGGCAGTGACAAAAATCAACCTCCAGACAAACTCTCAGTTGAAAGACGCCACTGAAAATATCTCTGAGGATCACAGAAATGTTGAGTGATTCCCTCTTCTTGTCTCACAAAGAGCAGAAACAAAGCAGATGAACACTAGCTATGGAGCTAGAGAAGGAAAACTAAGGAGCAGGCACGCAGGCTACATGACATGAAGTCTTGCAATATAAACAAGCAAGCCACCACCACCAGCAAGCAACTTTTATAGATTATTTACGGAGATCTGTCCACTAGCACTGGAGGCAGCACATGCCACCTGAAAACAGCAGGACAACCAATGAGGGAGGGGCTGATTCACGCTGGTAGTAGTCTTCAGCTCTCTAATGCCTTAATGAACAAAATACATCTTAAACTGACTTTAAAGATAAGTGGGGTGCTTTGCATTTAAAAGGGAAGCTTTATAAAATATGAAGCACAAGTATGTAACAGTCAACTTTCACAAATTATTCAAGCAGTCACATCCATAGGACATGGGAACTGTTGCAAGCACAGCTCGAATGCTGTTGTCACCCTGAAGTTCATTGGAGTCTGTGAGAAAAATAAGCAAAAGCCCCTGGAACATGCAGCCTGTCAGATTCACTTCTGAAAAAATGCAGCGTGAACAAGTGAACTGAAAAGGGAAGTGTAATGTCTAACAGTCAGAAAGAGCAGCCTGGCGTTGGTGGCGCACACCTTTAATCCCAGCACTTGGGAGGCAGAGGCAGGCAGATCTCTGTGAGTTCGAGGCCAGCGAGTGCCAGGACAGCCTCCAAAGCAAAACAGAGAAACCCTGTCTTGAAAAACCAAAAAAGAGACCACAAAAATGGAAAACAATAATAATAAATAAATGTTTAAAGGGATGGGAGAAATGGAGCGGGGCTAAGGGCTGGTGCAGCACTTGCAAAGGGCTCAGTTCAGTTCCCAGATGGGTGGTTCCCACAATGGGTGGCTCGAAACATGTGTAACTTCCGTCCTAGGGGATCCAATGCCTCTGGCCTCTGAGGGCACCTGCGTGCATGTACACACACGTGTGAATGCACACACGCACATACATGCACTCACACATGCACGCACCATCTGAGCCTCTCGGAGATGTCTGCGTGGGTAGTGCTCAGATGCTCCTGGCCCAGCTCCACGGGCTCAGCTATCACTTCCCAGGGTTCACCCTGTGTGGAGCACCTTCTGCACTGGAGGGGAACACCTTCTGCACTGGAGGGCAGCTCTGAAGGGCCCACTGAGCCCTGCCACCTTCTACATGTGCAGTTTCACTACGCACTCTATTTTCTGGCTACTTTTACAAAGAATTCTTTGCTTCTGTCAATACAACCAGGTGAGCTGTGAGAAGGGAATTAGAATAAAACACACTGCAATGTGGAAGGCAGGCAGTAGGCTCACTACTGCGGTAGGGTGCCAACATCACTGCCTCTCTCTCTCCTAAGAGAGCCACAGGACTCCGTTCACATTTGTCCCTCACAAAAAGTGCAGTTTGCAATATTGGTAAATTGAAATAACAAATGTTACATTCACAATCAATGGTAAGAATTGACCCCCCAAATAGTTTGGTTATCCAAAGGCAGGTATGTTTCCTTATTTAAAAAAATAGAAAGTAAAATGTTTCCTATCAAAGAGTTTATATGAACTAAAAACATATACACATATACACACATATACGTGTCTGTGTGTGTGTGTGTGTGTGTGTGTGTGTGTGTGTGTGTGTGTGTGTGTGTAGAGGAGGGGCAGTCAATTGTCTTTCTGTACTTTTGAATTTCACAAGTGAACATGATGATTGGATAAACCATGCCAAGTTAGCCAGATCAGGAATCAACGTTGACTTCATTAACTCCTGCATTTTCCATGAGAACATTATGGCGTCCTTGTGCAGAAAGGAAATAACATAAAAGACCTGAGTTCCCCTCAGAAAAGCAGACCAGCAAGACTGGCAGTGCTGGCATCTGGACCCTTGGATCTGAGAAGAGAACCTACAACCTCCCCAGAACTGTACCTGTGGGCACAAACGATATCAGCTCCCCTAGTCAGCTTTCAGCTCAGTAAGAAGCCCTGTCTCAAGACAGTAAGTCAGACAGCAATAGAAGACAAGACACTTAATATCCTACTCTGACCTCTAGAGAGGCAGACTGACACGCCTGTGCATATAACACACACACACACACACACACACACACACACACACACACACACACACGCACATGTGCACACAGACATGCACACAAGTACATGCATATACATGCAAACACATGCACACAGAATTTAAAAATTAAAAGTAAATAAAAGGACTGTTGGAAACCTGGCCCTGTTACCCTCCAGCCTTTCCCCCTGGACTTGTGCCTTTGCTGATAATGGCTTTCTACCTTTTCCTGAAACAAATCATGGCCACAAGGATCAAATCCAGAGACCTGGGTCTATGTCTAACTATAAAATCACTTCTCAATGACTTCTAATGCTTTCTGATCTTCCTATGTAGAGTCTGTGGGTTGTTTCAGTGTCCTTTTTGTTGGATTCTAGTTTAAGCCAAGGGCAATTTTATGTTTCAGACGGAAGTTTAAATCAATGCAAAGCAGCCTGTGTACAAACATTGTAATATATACAGGTGTCAAAATGTCTTCTTTTTAAAAGCCCAGAATAATAAATACAGCATAAAACTTGGAGATACAAGTTTTTTTGTTGTTGTTCTGAATGAAGTATTAAGGACTTGCTGTGTGTTTTAGTACTTACTAATGGTATTAACTAGCTGAGTTCTTTGAAACTGATGTTTAAAAAGCAAAGGAGAGGGGGAGGGTCTAGGTCCTGCTCCAAAGGATATGACAGAGTTTGAAGATCCCCCATGGAAGGCCTCACCCTCCTGGGGGAGCAGAAAGGGGATGAGATAGTGGGTTGATGGGGGCAGGGGAGGAAGGGAGGGGGAGGAAACCGATTGACATGTAAAAGAAGCTTGTTTCTAATTTAAATTTAAAAAAAAAAAAAAGCAAAGGAGATGGCTTGGTGGCTAAGGGTTTGAGCCTCAGCATGTCCATTAAAAGCCAGCGAGGCCACTTACATCTATATCCCTGGTGCTAGGGAGAGCATGCAGGCTGCAAGATGATACCGGAGGCTTGCTTGCTGATCAATGGCCTAGCCGAGAAATGGTACATGCCAGGTGCAGCTAGAGAGCCTGTCTCAAGGGAATAAGCTTGTTCAGAGAGCAAGAAGAGGACACCTGATGTCCTCAAGGGCACACACACCTACACCTACACCTACACACACACACACACACACACACACACACACACACACACACAAACACACATTTTTCTTTTTGTTGTTGGTGGTGGTGGTGATGTTTTTATGTTGGGGGCCAGCAAGATGGCTCAAGAAGATAAAAGCTCTTGACACCAAGCATGAAGATCTGAGTTTGGTCCCCAGGATAGACATGGTAGAAGGAAAGAACTAACTCTTGAGCTGGGCAGCTCCCTCTCTCCCTCTCCCCCCTCCTCTTTCAAAATAAGGTTTCACTATTGTAGCCTAGGCTGTCCTGAAAATCACTATGTAGACCAGGAAGGCCTTCCTCTGCTTCCCGAGTGCTGGGATTAAAGGTATGAGTCACATGTCCAGACTCTTTCTTTAATTGGTGGAAGTGTCAGTGGCATTGGTGGCATATATGTTCCTAAATAAATAACTACAACATACTCTACCGATATGCTGGTGTTTCCATGGCTCAGGTATCATTTCAGAAGAGAAGGCAGAAAGACTATGAAAACCAGAAGAACAGGAGGTCTGCTGTGAGATTTTTTTTAATCTCCTAGAAATGTGAATAGCTGGAGGCATGAAGTCTCACCAAACATTCCTAAACATGACCTGAACAAGGAGAATACCAATAGACACGCTAACATGGCAGAGAGAGGGCCCTTAGGAGGCCCCAACCCTAGACAAACAACTACAGGCAACTATGGAATGCTGAGGAATAGTCTTCCCCAGGCAAGGCACAGCAACTGTTTTGTTTTTAAGGCAAACAGGACCGAGGAAACGACGGCTTATTGGTAAAGTGCTTGCTGGCAAACAAGAGGACACAAGTTTGATTCTAGAATGCATGTTAAAGCCAGAAGTGACAGTGGACACCTATAACCCTGACTCCAATAAGACAAATACCATTCCTAACAAAAATCTAGATTGGAAGACCACGAACAGCCCTTGTAAGTATAACAATGAAGGGATATGTCAAGGGGGAGTAGCTGGAAGGGCACAGGAGTGAATTAAGCCAAGTTGAATGACTTCTCTGAAACTTAAGCTGCATGGCAGCAGATCAGGGTACTGTAATTAGTTTCCTCTATGAATTTCAAGTTAGCAACTGATAGCCTCAGAAAATAGCTGCTGTGAGTAAAATAATTATGCTGCAGCTGGACAGCATGCCTGCTGGGGGACACTGGCAGCTGTCTGCAAAGCCACCCCTGCAACGGATTAACAGAAGAATCCCGTGAGGAACCAGGTCTCTAGTCTGGTGGTATACTGCCCTTGGAAAACATTTTTATCAAGGGCTTAAATTTAGACACATGAGTGACTTTGGAGTGAGTACAAAGCCTGGATCACAGAACCCTCCTAGGACAAACGTCAGACTCAAGACCACGCAGGCCCAATCAGTACAATCAAACCTAACAGGAATAAATGAATATAAAGTTCTTCATTTACATTAAACAAAATCAAGTTCTGAATGGAGAAAAACCTGACTTGGCAGTGGCTTAAAAAAAAAAAAAAGTCTGAGATCAAAGGAAAAGATCTGACAATTTAACAATCTAACTTGACCAAAAATTTATGAGCCAAAAATGTGATTTGATTGCTTAGAGAAAACTAATATAATTCCAGCCTACATGAATATTCAAAGAAATGTAATCTCTGAAACATGGCAAGTTAGCATCTCCATTGTAGCCAGTTCTGGCCAGACTACATCTGGAACACTGTGTTTAATTTGAGACACTCATTTTAAGAGACAATAATGAACTAAAGAATGCCTAAGAAACACAGCCAGGAAGGGAAATGAATGAGAACTTAATATGATAAAAGGTTTGAAAAGCTATGTGTATTGAGACTGGAAAACTAAAAGAAAAATGTCAATTAGCTTCAAATACTTTGGTATCAGATGACAATACCAAAAAAAACGCTTTCATTGTTTTGCTGTTCCATTTATCCAAAACCAGGGCTGTGGAACGGAATTTAGAGCCCACCCTGAGAAGACCGCATGTCTTCACTATGCCCTCTGCTTCTTTTGTTTCTAACTGGGAAACAGCAGTGAGGGTGCTGACCGCCAGCAGGTGGGAAGTCCAAGGACACAGCTGAGATTCAAGGAACTTGCCCAGGCTTGCTGGCTGCTTCAGGTGGCCTTCAGGGAACCCATGGGGCAACCTTCTCAAGGCCACAGCAACTTCTCCTCAGAGTACTGGTTCCCATAAGGGTTAGTAATAAAAGCATGTGGTGAAAAAGAGGTCATGTCTGTCTAGACAGAAAGGATGTTTTTATGTTAAAAGTTAACCTTACACATATAATATACCCCATAATCTAGCCAAACCAATGCACAAGTTACTTTTTTATGAATAAAATTTAAATTAGACTCTGTACCATTTAGCTATGTAAAACCAGCTGAACCTGTCAGTCACATTAAGCTTCGAGTTTACAGATTTAACATTATCATTAGTTGAATCCGTGAAAATGCACAATGTTGGTGTCATTCATAAAAGGCTCTAAAAGTAATACCAGAGAGGAATAAAGCACACTTATTTTTACAAACCAGTCATAAAACAACTGAAACAGTGTCCTTAGGAACAGAAAGAGGTTAACAAGAGAGAACTAGAGAAAATTCAGGCTATCTTAGAACCTGACACAACACAGACACTGGAAATCACGAATGGGGCTTTTAGAATCCAGGAAAAGAGTAAAATCACTGCAAGAGAAAATCTACTAGTTATCTAATTTGGAGACGGAAAAATATTTCTCAAGTTTAAGAGTCAGAGAAACTAAAAAAAAGAAAAACCTACAGGCTCAGCTATTCAAATGCTACCCTACTCTGCTAGAAATCAAAGGCACTTTAAGTTCACAAAATTAAAAGCAAACTGTCTACAAAAACAGTAATTTTTGGTAAAAGAACTTGTGAATATCTTAATATATAAAGGGCTCTTACCAATCAATATGGGTCAACTTGAAAGGTCAAAGGAGGATTCATAAAAGAAAATACAAAAAAAAAAAAAAAGAAGAAAAGAAAAATCCCATCTAGCGCTCGCGCGCACACACACAAGTCTAATCTCATAAATAATGAAGTAAGCCATTAAAAACATTCTACAACTGGAAACTCAAAAAAAAAAAAAAAAAAAGTACACATACCTTAACTCAATAATCTCACTCAAAATTTTTATCTTTAGAAAATAGCTATTTTTTTCTTTTTTTTATTAGTTTTACATTCCAACCCCAGTTCACCCTCCCTCCTGTTTTCCCACCTCCCCACATCCCACCACTCCCATCTACTCTTCTCAGGGAGGTTAAGCCCCTCCTTGGGGAGTCACCAAAGTCTTGGATACCAAGTTGAGACAGGACCAACTCCCCACACACACACTACAGGTAGTGGGCTCCAAAAAGCCAGTTCATATACCTGGGATAAGTCCTGGTCCTTGATTTTTTTTTTAAGATTGTAAAATCATAACATACATTTTAGAGCAATGAGACATGATCAACTGTATTTTAAGGAATATTTAATATGGAGAAACATACACCACATAAACAGGAAGATATGTTTTAAGTGCTGCCATCTATAATACTTAAAGTGAAGAAAATATGTGCATTAAGCCATCTGAAATGTAAAGAAACTACAATGTTTTCAACTGTTACTCCTTCTCCTCTTTGTGCTTTTCTATGCTTTCCAAATTTCACAATATAATATCCTTGGTTTGAAGAGATGGCTCAGCAGATATGAGTGCTACTGCTCTTGCAAGGGACCCAAATTAAGATTCCCAGCACCCATGCCAAGTGGCTGCAAAGAACCTAACACTTCTGACCTCCATAGATATAAGTCCTCACATGTACACGTGTAAATACACACACACACACACACACACACACACACACACACACACACACACACGCCACATCTATGTCCTTGACCATTAATTTCACTTTTAGAAATTTACCCCAATGTTATAATCAAAGGTAAAGAGAAAAAATTATGTAAAAGAGTTAATACGTTATTCACTAGATGAAAAACTTTGCAGTTACAGAGAAACTTTTCAGAAATGTGAGCCCATGGGTCAAACTGCTATGAGCCATGTGCTACTGAAGAATGTTAATCCAAAACACAAAAAAAGAATGTTAGAGAAAAAAGTTTAATATTGTAACAACATAAAAAAGTATAAAATGTTCTGTACAATGTGATTCAAATTTCATCCTAACATATGAATGAAGAATCTTGACAGGAAGGAGATAGACTTTTTAAAAACCAATAGCACTTACCTACAGCTACCCTATCAACTTTTTCTTTCAATGAAAATGTATTGCCTTTTAAAGAATAAACTATAGCTACAAAAGTTGTATTAGGCTTTAATTTTACATACTTGGTTGCTCCATCATCGTATGTTGCCATTAGCACTACTGTTCCATCTTGTATAGTCTTCAGAAACTCAATGAATGGTGCCACATCTGAAGAAAAAGAAGGGTTGGGGATTTTCTCTGTAAATAATGGAATTACTATCATAATCTTCTCTAAAGCTAATGTCATATGCAGTTTCCACAAAATAACTGTTTCTAATGAAAAGTAATGTGTAGGTAAAGCAGACAAATCTTAGGGAAAACTTAAAACCTCAAGCTTTTTGAGTATACCCAGGGAAGAAAAAAAAAAAGAAAAAAAAAAACCCACTAAACAAAACTACCAAACTTATTCTTTAATATAGTCTCTCCAGCTCCTGATTGATTTCCCAGTTCTGAATCATCCTGTGTCTTCCATACTCATATCATCAGGGCCAATAAAAATCCAGAGTAAAGTCATGCAAGCTCATCACATGTAAAGTGAGGACCTCTGGGATCTCTCAGAAACATGTAACTGGGCTCACAGTCCACAGGGAGCCTGAGGTCCAGGTGAAGCTTTGGGATACGGCCTTGAGTGTTAACATGAGTGCTTTTCTGGGAAAAGGAAGCCCTGCTTTACCCTATCCTCAGAGACCTCTGTAAAAAAATGTTTTTTGATCTATAAGAAGGAAGATTTATAGAGTTTCTAGGTGTATCATTTTGTAACAAACTGTGGGAAGGAAGGAATGCAGACGACTAAAAGCCAAGCAAATTACGGCAAGCATCGGTCCTCTTGGGTATCAAGTCCACAGGAACTTCACAAAACTCCAGCTCTGTGAGTGCAACTGGTGCTGCCAGACAGACTGGTCATATGCTAAAGCATTTTCCATCATAAGCTCTTTGCAATGTTAGTTTTCCTTATAGACCACAAGTCTAAATCTACTCCAAAACTGTATTACTTCAAGTCTTTCCAACTTTTTTTTCAACATCAAAGATTCCAAAGATTTTTCTCTAACTGATTATATTTTACAATAAGCATATTTTCAATGCAGAAACATAACTGCCAACAAATCATTCCCATCGAAATGAGAAGATGGCACTAAACTGCTATTATTTCTGAACCAGGAAGAGTCTTTGGCAGCAATTTGGCTCCTGTGATGGGCAGTGAGAGCAATACCAGAGCTCTGTTTACATGCCCAATTTCAACAGCTTCATGGAAGAGTTTCTATGTTATAAATTATACTAAGAGCAATTATGTTCTCAAAATCTAAAATTGATGGGAACAGGGTAATTTAATATACCTCTGACAGCTATGAAGCATTCTCTAAAGCTTAAATAAATAATACACAGCATCTTATTAAAAGCTGAAGCAGTATTAGACACGTTAGCTTGTCTGAAAACTGAACACAAATGTCTGGAAGCTTGCGAGTCGCTGGCTTGTAGGGATATGTGAAGAAGCCAGGGGACCAAAAGATAAGCTGGGGTTGACATGCCTTCCTTAAAGAGGAAGAGACCCTGGGGACTGGAAAGGCAGCTCAGAGGTTAGGCTACTGAAAGGATAGTGGCCCACTTGTTACTCTTCCAGAGGACCTGAGGCTGACTCCCAGCAGTCACATGAGGTAGCTGAGGTAGCTCACAATGCCTGTAACTCCAGCTCCAGGGGTCCAGTGCCACTTGGCTTCCCAGAACCTGTACCCATGTGAACATAACTACCTGCAGATGAGCATCTACACACACTTAAAATAATGAAAATAAATATCTCTTCTTTCCTTTTTTTTTTTTTTTTAAAGAAAACCTTTCTCTTTGGGGTAACATTCTTTGGGGGAGCCAGTATTTGCTTCAAATTCACCAGTATTTGATAGTAACCTCTTCCTTTCCCTAGAACCTCCAAACATGGATGGGAAAAATATCTGTGGGCTTGTTCTGAGTCCAGCAAATTACAAATGTTTTCCCAAATGTTTGCTACTAATAATAGCAGAGTTCAAAGGTAGACATAGGATGGATTAGTAGGATTATTACTTTTCGAGAACACGAGGCACTTCACGTTAAAACTGTGTGAAGTGGTTATACTGATCTTCAGAGGATTCTGACTTTCAGGCAGAAATTGAAACCAACTCAGGGCTTTGAGATAGTTGTCCTGTCAAAACATGGGATGCTAACATCCTTCAAATCTCAGTGGAATCTCAATCACAGACAAGTTTCCCACCATAATGAAACAGCATGCAAACACAACAGCCCACTTAAATATGGCCGGCATGTAGTAAGATGGAGCAAAACAAAATGGAAATGCAAACGGTGCCATAGTTAGTCCTCTCTGCAATGGGTTCAGCTGCAGCAGCAGGAGCACAGGGTAAGTCACACATACCTCCTCCCCACATGTCAAAATATTTGGTGTCTAGTACCTCCCCTGTTTTTCCTGAAAGAGACAGAATACGACATATTAAATCATACAACTGAAATATCAGCATAGCAACGAGTGACACGCACTCATCAGCAGAAGGAACTGCTTCTGGAACTTATGCTCTGACTCATACACAGAGCTGTGCACCACTGACTTCAGATCAGTTCTGTGCCACAGGTCACTGCAACTTGCGATCATCAGCCCGTAAGAATTACCAAACCATAACCTCTACAGCAAAGAAATCGTCTACTTAAATCAGAACAACCATCTATAATAAACCTTCTCCTTCCTCCCCCCTCCCCTGAATAAAATTGACACTTATTTTATCTTTAAGAACCATTAAACAGAAGAATAGACATTAAAGGTTTTACTTGGGAAAAAGGAAGTACCAAGTCATATGACTACCACCTATGAATGGAGCAAAGAGAGCTTCTCTCTGCTGGGGGTTGGCTGAGCTGCTGGCAGATTTGACTCCCCTGGGGAAGGTACAGGAAACATGTATCTGGAGAGGCACAAGCGGTGCATAAGCTCTTTGTGGTCGGGATACTTAAGATTTACTTTTCTAACACTCACTACATCCAGGACTCAGTGAACTTATCGGCTCAAATGAAGCTCTGAGTACAGCATGGATAGTATTGAGAATGTACAACAAATCATGACACACCCTTAATCTTGTCTACTTGTCTTCATATGAAGTATGAATTCTGAAAGATGCAGCAAGACTGCTTCCATTTTGTGTCAAATTGGTGCTTGTAATTTCACAAGAAACTCGCCCGCCACACAATGCACATGGCTGCAATCCGCCCAAGAATACATGCTACCAAAAAGTAGATTCAGAGTCTCCATCTGTGGTGGTTTGGACAAGAGGGTATCCTTGTTGGGACAGCTTCATTATTGAGTGGTGCTTTCTACTCTGATGCCAAGGACAAATTTTAGTGTGGAGCATAAGTATACCCATTGATTACACTGGTCAAGTACAATGATTATTCTTACCATTTACCAAGGCAACATTGATTCCTCTTCCAACATTGTTCTTAACACCACTCATCAAACTAAAGGGAAAGAAGTCAAGACAAACTCTTAAAATTAGATAGTATATGGAAACACGTCACAGAAATACAATGTAAAAAAGGGTATCATACACATATCAAACACTCAACTCAGCAAATTAAAAGCTTACTACATCAAAGACAGACTTACGTTGAGTCTACTATAATGTCAACTCAAATAACTTCATGCTATTAAAAAAAATACACACAAAGGTACAAGGGTGCTGGAGAGATAGTTCTGTGGTTAAGAACATGTACTACTCCTTATCCAGAGGACCAACACTCAAGTCAGGAGACTCACAACCTCCTCCAACTCCAGGGGATCTGTTGCCTCTGGTGGCCATCCATACCTGCACCCATGTGCACTTACCCAGACACACACAAATTAAAGTAAATTCATTAAAATAAAAATATTATGGCTCAAATGCCACTGAGTTACTGCTCTCTCATACTGTGCAGTGCCACCACAGCCTATCCTTTAGGATATGGGCATCACAAGACTCAATCTCCAGCACCGTCACGAAGCCAAAGAACACGCCCTCTCTTCTCCATCTCCCACAGGGTCACTGTGGTACCGTGACATGCAATGGAGTCATAGTCTATCCAGACATTTTAAAATCCTAAACTAGAGGAGTAACGGAGCACTGTCCTGCCCGTGTTACTTCACTGTGACTAGTAACATAGGTTTTCTCTGTACTCAAAAGGAACGCTGTACTTGCCAATTACCTCAGCACAGGCATTGATGGGCTGCCCAGATAACCAGCGTGGCTGCAGCTTACAGATGGCAGTGTCAGATGACAGTGTGGGATGGAGGGCACGGTGGCACACGGGCTTGCTACCAGTTTATTTCATTGAATATTAAGTCAAAGTTTTTAGCTAATGTTACATCCATAGAATTCAAGGTATTAGCAACTTCCCCAGGAGTGTGTTGGAAGAGGGGCACTGTGCTCACATTAGCATACTGCAAATCTCCCTGATAGAATGTGTAGCACACACATTTTGCAAATGAAATGTAGACTACTTCATCACACCTTCCTCAGAGTCAACTGATTCTCACAGAAGGTGCCAAATGCTTTCCACCCAACTCATATCTGTAACTGAACTATGGTTGCAGGGAATATAATTCTAACAATTACTGAATAACATACTCATTTATGGGAATGGTAAGGCAAAGGAAAATCTAAAATAATGACAAGCTTCATTTATCTGGTGATGAGAATGTCTTTACTAAGTCAAATAAATTTTCAATGCTGGCCAGTTACTTTCTCGTTCTGTTGTTTACAGTATAATGACTACAAACCAAACAATGTCATGGAATGCATCCAGGTCCCATCTACATAAAAAACATTTCCCCCTCTTTTTCATGAGTCTAGGTCTTAGTTTCAAACCTTTCTATTAAGGGACAGTAATCACTAAAAAGTTTCTATAAAGGGGTCTACAAAGGGATGCACTCAAAAACAGTAAATCAAAAGAAACTTCTTAAAATGTTTTTATTTACAAATAAGTATTAGTGAATTTCCTTATTACATTTTTGCATGTGTTTAGAATGTATTTTGTCATCTAACTCTTTACCCTTTCTCACCGCCTCCCCACTCCTGCTCCCCCCTTCTCAGTTACTCCTCTCAAACAGAACTTTAAAAGATGATCATAAAATTCAAAGTAAACTGGGCAGTGGTGTCACACACCATTAATCCCAGCACTCAGGAGACAGAGGCAGAGGGATCTCTTTTAGTTCAAGGCCAACCTGGTCTACAGAGCTAATTCTAGGAAAGCCAAGACTACACAAAGAAGCACTGTCTCAAAAAACGTAAAACGAAAACAAACATATAAACAAAAAAATCAAAGTAAAGCAATCCAAAAACAGAATAAAATGCTAAAAATATTAGACTTGAGGCCTCACCTATAAACATGCACATTGAATATAAGTAGCTCAAACACACAGCATAAAGACAGAACAGGAACATCGGTGATTACAGAACCGACTACAAAATGATGACAATAAATTCATCTGAAACATAAGGATATTGGTAATAGAAAGAAAAAGGGTAAGAAAACCTTTATGCAAACAACCCAAAGAGGAAATAGCAAAAATCATCAATCAATTTTTAAAACAACAGAAGGTTAGGGTGGATATTTCTCTATGGTTAATTTAACAATTAATCATGAACTTAATGAGCTACAACTTCACTCCTACTAGAGGCATATGGAGGGCACAGGCCTTCACACCGTTGGTACCAGGGGTCACTTTGAAAACAAGCTGACCATTCCTTCAAAAGCCAGACAGCTATCTGAAAAGAAAGTCCACTATGGTACAAGCGCAAAGAGGGAAAACACATCCACACAAAACCTGTGTAGAAATGTTTCAGAAACACTGTTCTTGATAGCCAGAGAGTGGAAATGAGTCACACTTCCATGAACTGAAAAAGGGCAAAGCAAATGAGGCAGTATCTATAATGGAAAGTCATTCAGCCATGAAAAGAATTAACTAACACAAGCTACAAGGTAGATGAACCTTGAAAACATTACACCGAGTGAAGAAGTCAGTGACTGAAGACCACATTTATATGCAACATCGAAAACAAGCCCATCTATAGGGACAGAAGCAAACAAGGTTACTTAGGACTTGGGTGTAGAGTAGAATGAAAAGGAACAAGGGCCCAAGTTAAAGGACGCAGTTTCTTCTGGTAGTGTGACAATGTTCTATGCTGGGACTGAAATCCCAGCATTCTAGAGAAAGAAGCTAAGGACAGCCAAAACAGAATGAAAGAGAAAGCCTAAAATTAACTATATACACAACCATGAATCATATTACAAACCAGTGACTGCACACTGAAAACGAGGGAAGGGCAGGTGTATGAGCTACATCTCCAAGCCTTTTAAATGAAAGAATTTGTCTTGAACATACACATAAGACAGTCATAAGCTTCACCACAGGACAACTGGCTGGACTGCGCCAGACCCCTGGGAAGCACATTAGACACATGAATTCCATCACTGGTATCAAAAAGGAATGGTTACAACTAATGTATTGGTTAATAATCACACTGCAGTGATTTTTCCAAGTCTAGACCATCTTGGAACATGCTTCTCTATTCCAATAAACTTAAGTCCATCACAGAAAAAAAAAAAAGAAAAAAAAAAAAAAAGCAGCAAGAAGCACAGTGCCATGGGCTTCCCACAAGGGGGCAGCAACCTATCAAGTTTTAAACATTAAACCAGGGAAACTTGCCATCAATGAAAAACCACCAAAGACACCAAACACATTAAGAGCAGTCAGAGCAATTAAAATATTTACTTTATTCTTTATGACTGTGAAGTCCTCTGGCCAACCACACACCTTCAGGGAAAAAAAAAAAAAACCTAAAGGAAATGGCATAAACACTATACATCTTCAAATACAGCTTACCTGCCACCAACTTTAGCTATTTTAAACATCTTGGAGGGAGCATGCCTGAGCACTGAAGATGTTCAACAGCTCTGGCTCTCCACAGCTATGACAAATAACAAACGTACCACAGAGAGCAAAATTAGCCCTGCCTACGCATAGCAATCTAGAGTAGTCGTCTGTCTCCACAGTGAGTTCCTGTACTCAGATCAACTGCAAAGGTACACATATTTTTATTTTGTGCTTGCTCATTTTGTAGGGTAGACAGGCCAAAAGAACTGTTATGTCAAGCAGCTGGAATAACTAATCTTGACTTTCCCATAGTTCTTTATTCCACACTCAAGTCATTTTATATAGCTGTGAAATTCATTTTTCAATAAAAGGAGATCATAACACAGTAGTCTCCACACACTCAATCCTTTACCTGCATTGTTCAGAAGCTCTTGTGTGGTCTAGCCCACTCACTTCTAGAACACCCCTCCCAGACAGGCTGAGCATGAGCCTCCTACCTGGGATGTTCAGACATTTCTGTTCAGCCTCAAGTTGTCTCCTGGTCCCCAGGTTCTCAGACCACACTCAAGTGTCTTAGAATCAATCCTCAACACTCAATCTAATGTTGGACCCTTCCCCCTTACTTACAATCAAGTTGGACTCTACCTCACTCACTCCCACTAGCAAGCATCACTCAGGCCCACTGCCTGCACAGATGGTGTCCTGATTGACAGTCACTTGCTTGCATTTCCTTCTTAGGTATCTGTCAGCCCTGCTAGACTGCATATTCCATGATAGGGGGAACCAGATCCAAAAAACATGTGAATACATGAAAGAGTGATGCCTAGGCAAACAGACTCTTTATGCTTTACATTAGCACCATTTAAAAACTTCGAATATTTACAATACATGAATAAATATACAGGAAAAGGCTCTGGGCTTGGTCTCTGCAGCATCCCACTGGAGATCCCCGACCAGTTATGAAGTCCATCTACAGGGACCAGTGTCATCACCTAAGGCCTAGCTATAAAATTTCATCAATTATTAATCTCTCATGGGAATGGCAGAATGATTTGTGAAATGCAACTGATTGGTAGGCAGCCTCAATTTTTGGTCAAACAAACTACCGCACAGTACAAATCCTGCTTGACATGCTCACCATGCTAGAAATAGAGTCTGGCTCCCAGGCTGGCAGTCACACTGAGCCCTACTCCCAAGAAGCATTTACCTTCTGACTTAAGTAACTGGGGTTAGGAAACCAGTGTTTGAAAGGAGTTTGATCTCTTCCTTGCACTAAACTCCATGGAGTAGGCGTCAGAAGATTATCTGTGGGTGAGGTATTCCAAACGAACTCTCATCCTATTATCTAGACTCAAACTTGGACTCCTTAGGTGAAAGATGAAAACAAAGGGGACTGTCCCTAAAAACCCAGAAACTTCTAGATCCCACATGCTTTGCTGTGTCAATAAACAAATCTGGGTACTGAAAGGTCAGAAGGTAACTGATTTGGCAGTGGTCGCCCATTAGCACAGCGGTAAAGAACATGAGTGTAGAGAGCTAAACGAGCACCAATTTTGTGGAAAGTGTTGCCCGTGAGGCCAATCCTCTCACTGAAAATTTAACTTAAGAGCTCTGTCTGAGATTCATGCACAAAAGCTGGGAGCAGCGGCCCAGTTTCTGCTCTTTGACTCTTCACCATCTTGGTTGTCTGTCTGTACAGTAGAATGTCATAGTCTTTAGTCTACATAGCTGAATGTCATGTCCATTATTTTACGTGAATTTTAAATTAGCTCATGTCCCTAGTTTCCTGAGCAGTCAGATGGAAAACAAATAAAAGCAGGGTTTGCAATTTCAGAGCAGGAACTTGTGACAAGCCAGGATGACAAACCAACAGCATCCCGTTTAAAACACTACAACCAGGAAGCCACTCGGCTCAGCCCAGAGCAGTGTGAGTGTAACAGGCCAGCCATGACCACCAGGTGGTTTCACATCTTGGCGAGCAGTACTCACGTAACAAAAATGAAAGACACTGGCCTATAATGTGAAACATTCGTTGCTCTGGAAAGTTACTAATGGAACTTTGTTCTGACACAAGTATTCTTTATATGGGATTTGTGGTCCAGAGTCCTGTGGAGAGAATGGCTGTGGTGGTCCCTGCCTTTGATTCCAGCACTCCGGAGGCAGATGCAGGCAGATCTGTAATGAGTATTGTCATCTGGCCCTACAGAGGAGGAGCTTCTTGTCAGCTGAGCAAAGGAGTCAAGACCATGCTGGGGAAATGCACAGACACTGCTAACCTGAGCAAGTGGAAGCTCACTGACTCCAGACTGACAGCTGGGGAACCTGCATAAGACCAAACTAGGACCCCTGAATGCGGGTGTCAGTTGGGGGGCTTGGGCAGTCTATGGGGCCTCTGGCAGTGAAACCAGTATTTATCCCTAGTGCATGAAGGCTTTTTGGAGCCCATTCCCTATGGAGGGATACCTTGGCCTCACTCCTTCCTCAAATGATGTGTCAGACTTTGATGGTCCCTCATGGGAGGGATATGAGTGGATGGGAGATGATGGGGAGGATGGGAGGACGTGAGGGAGAAGGAGCTGGGATTGGAATGTAAAATATGATTGTTTTTAAAATAAAAATAAATGAATCAAAGTGAAATAAAATAAAAAGGGGGGCAGGCACTCTATCTTGTGTGCTCGTCAGAGATTGGATTTCTGCTTGCATTCACCCCTGGGCAGAACGGAAGACAGCAGCGGCTCTCTAGCTTCTTGTATTCGTGGCTGCTTTCCAATAAATCTTGATATCCTTTTATTCGAGTTCTCAAGGGTTCACATACATTTGCCTACACAGATCTCTCTGAGTTTGAGGACAATCTGATCTATACAGAGAGTTCTAGAGCAGCCAAGGCTACACAGAAAAATCCTGCTCAAAAAACAAGCAAAAAAACAAAACACCCCCCCCCAAAAAAAAACAACAACAAACAAACCAAAAAAGAGACTCTGGAGCCACTGAAAGCTTGAAAGCTGCCAACCAGCTTTGAAGAATTTTTTTTATTTTAATGAATTTAAATGAATTAATTTTTTCTGAGTGTTCAAGAATCAAAATGAAACAGCCACATTTATCCTAACACAAAGCCAAATAAAAATCAGGTCTCTTGGTCATTCTCTTATCATATAATAATAGAAGCCTTCCAGAAGCTCCATCACCCCAAGTCCACCAGCTGTCACTCAGTACAAGACCTTGAGTTCTGAGCCATCCAATACTCACACATTGTCTTCTAGGCAGATCTTGGGCCCCACAACATTGGCTGCTCCACTGGCCATTTTAAAAGCAAAATGCTTCTCAGGGCATGCTTTAGAGATTCCACATTTGTACCTGGGAGGCTTCGTAGCTTCGGGAGAACAGAAACATGCTTCAGATTTCAGATTTCAAACAACACACACACATTAATATTATTAAGGTACACTTAGGGGATGGAGGGACAAGTCAGTGATTAAGAGCACTGGCTGCTTTACCCGAGGACCCAGGTTCAATTCCCAGTACCCACATGGTGGCTCATAACCATCTGTCCCTGTAGTTCCAAAGGAGCAGATGCCCTCTCCTAGATTCGTTGAGCACAATACATGCGGTCAGCGCATACACACAGGCAGGCAAAACACCATACATATGAAAAAATAATTTAAAAAGAGAGATACACATACTTAAAAATAAATACAAAATTTTAAAATCTGCTCGAACTTTTCCACCTAAGGGTATTGAAAAAAGAAGCATGGAAGAAAGGCAGGCAACCCCCCCCCCCCAATAAAAAGACACAAGAATACAACTTAGACCTTCCTGGGGAATGAACCAACTACTGAAAGAAATGGATAATGCCATTGATCTTGCTGAGCAAGGTAGATGTCAATTATTCTTGAAGTTATCTTTAAATTTCTGGGTGCCTGGGGCTTTTTAATTGCTCCTTTGTATGTCTAATGCATCATACCAGGATCAGTAAAATCTTGGTCTTTCCATCCATCCAGGGACAAGCTGCAGCTGACTCTCTTGTTGGCTCTCACTGGCTATGATCACACCCCAAGGCTGGAACCCAGGCATAGAGCAAACGCTTATTGACCATGAAGAACTTATGATATCAGGCTGCCCAATTAAATGACAGCTGTATAATTTCAAAACTCAACTTCTCCTTCAGTGTTTGTTCACACAAATTGCCCACATTGCTTGAACATAACCTTTCACAGGGCCACACACAGGATACAACATCTAGAGAACAATAAGGTGAGGGACTTACAGCGAGCAGTTGAGTCCAGTGCAGACCGAGCTAAGAAGAGAAACAGTTAACATCATTAGAAAACACAGAAACTTCTAATAAGCCATGGGAATACATGTTCAGGTGACTGCTCACCTGTATTGGTACACAGTAAATACCAATATTGTGTCAGAAGCAGTACCCACTACAAATTCATTATGGACAAGTGTGTGTTGAAATCATAGACAGTAGTGTTTCATTGCTGAAAAATCATGTTAAACTTATTTATTTATTTATTTAGGTTTTTATTTTTTGCAGGAAGGGGGGGGCAAGGGTAAGACAAGATTTCTCTGTGTAGCCCTGGCTGTCCTGGAACTTGTGCTGTAGAGCAGGCTGGCCTTGAACTTACAGAGATCCACATGCCTCTGCTTCCCAAGTGTTGGCATTAAAAAAGGGGTGCACCATCGCCATCACCACCTGGTTCATTTTAAACTTTACATTTTGTTTAATTATTTGCTACAAATTCAAACCCTACTTAGAACATTAGTCTGAAAACATACCTTTAAAAGACTACTAACTGGGGGGCTGGAGAGATGACTCAGAGGTTAAGAACACTGGCTGCTCTTCCAGAGGTCCTGAGTTCAATTCCCAGCAACTACATGGTGCCTCTCAAACATCTCTACTGAAATCTGGTGCCCTCTTCTGGCCTGCAGGCATATATGCAGACAGAATGCTGTATACATAGTATCTTTAGGAAAAAAAGACTACTGTGTTGGTGAACAATACTGTGTTTAAATGCTGCTGCAGCTGAGCTGGGCTGGTGCCCTGGAGAATAGGCATAAATCTACCTTGGGGTTTGGTGAAAATCTGAGAGTACAACAATCTGGGAGGGTGAACGTCGGGGAAACCTGAATTTCTCCACAACAGGTGTGTACGGTAAGAAAGGTCTAATGAAACCAATACTGTTACTGGGTGATCCATGTTTCATCAGTTTCCAGGAAGGGAGAAGGTCAACTCCTAACACCCACAGTGGGTCTCCACTGCTCTCCATCGAAATACACTTAGTGTCTGATCCCAGTCCAAGGGATTTTAACACAGACCATCAAAGTGCCACAGACAGCTGGTTTCTGATGTGGCTAATAAGTACACAGTGTGACACACACTGGCCAGCTGTCTAACTATAAATAGTCACTTAGTTTTTACTTCTGGACTATTTTTGATAACTGTGAATTTCCTGTAAGTCCGCTATTCAAATTAGGGAACAGCAAGTTGAAGCAGAAAGAGAGTATCTGGATGTTTCAAGAGAAGAGGCCAAGTCAGCAGCTCCGGCACTCAATAGAATTCAATAGAACACTGTTAAACGTAGCGTTCACACATAGATGTGTGAACATCTATGATGTAGGGAAGGAATACAGCATGGACTATAGCAAAACAGCCTGCCCCCTCTCTAGAACCTAAATACAGAGACAATTCCCACGAAGAGAGAGAGACCTGGAAAAGCTAATCACGAAATAGAAGAAGGGAGGGAGAGGGAGGCCATCCATCCAGGCCCTGGCTTTTCCTTGCTCATTCTTTCCATTTCCTTACATAATTAGAGATTTGATCTGAAGCGTTCACTTTTTTAAATGGGAAAACTAAGCCCCAGAGCAGAATCAGCAACATGAAGACCCGAAATTCTCAACTTCGGTCTGTCGTTAAGAAGCAAACAGACAAGATAGCACAGTGGGTTGGGGACTTGACACCAAGCTGGCTCAGGTCTGAGTCGACCTACAAAGACCCTGCTGGTTGCTGGATTTTTTAAAAAAGTAGACAGATTCAGAGCTTCTAAGGAAACAACACAGACAGGGCTTAGGCTCAGAAATGGACTGACTTGGGGGCAGGGGGTGTTGTAAAGGAAGGAGTCAGGGACATTGGCTTGGCTTACAAGTACTTACATCCATTCACAGTAGGAATGATCAAAACACTTTCTCTGCACTCAAGACCTTTATAACTAGGTAAGCAGGGGCGGGTGTGTGTGCGCATGTGCGTGTGCGTGTGCGTGTGCGTGTGCGTGTGTGTGTGTATACACACTACTGATGGATTCTACCCACCATGTTTTAAGACATTTGGTGAAGATCTAAGAGCAACAATTTGAAGGTCAGCTAGAAACAAGACCTGGGAGTCGGACAGGAACTGGAATATGAGCAAACTGAGAAGGGCATCCAGGGAGGGCAGAATCCGAGGACATCAACGTTCAAGTACTGACAGAAGAAACTTAGGAGCCTGGAGTGATGTGCAAGAGAAGCAAAGGCCAAGTGACTATAAAATGGTTGGATCAGGACTGGAGACTTGACTCTGCAGTTACGAGCACTTGTTATTGTTATAAAGGGCCTGGGTTCAATCCCAGCACCCACAGGGAGGCTCACCACCTCTGTGGCACCAAGTCCAAATGTGCTGTCTAGAAGTACCTTCTCTAGCTTCCAACAATGGTAGCTGAATGCCTCCAGAAGAGATCCAGTATTCACTTTATATAGTATGAGATAAATATAATCATTTCCACTGGAGTATATGAACCTTACATTCTATTCTTCACCCTCATAATAACATACTTACGGTCACGGTTGTAGGGCAGTGGTTATAAGCACTTGCCTAGCATCCACAAGCCCTGGGTTTGACTATTAGTGCCTCAAAGGAGAGAGAAATGGTAGGGTGGGCATTGTGATGGCGCACACTTGTAACCCTTGCACTTGGAGAGTAGGGTGAGGCAGGAGGATCACAAGTTGGAGGACGACCATGGCTCACTGTGAGTTCTGAAAGAGCCTGCAGTGCCACAGGAAAACCATAGTACACCTCTAGAAGAGAAACATCTGAAAATCAGTAAGATGGAGGACTATCTAAACAAGCATTAAATATAACTGGCTCCATTTTATTAACTTAGGGGTTTGTTTCAAACTGAATTAAGAACATAGCACAATGGCAGAAGACTCACATAGCATGCACAAGGCACTGGAATGGGTCCCTAGCCTTGAAAAACGTTTTTTGAGTTAATGTACAGTGACAACCAAAAAACACCAAATAATGGGCAAAAATGAAAATCACGGGAAAAAGAAACAAGATGATGAAGGACCAACATGGACAATCCATTTCTCTGATGCTTCTTACAAGCTAGATCTGGGTCCGTTTTCTAGCAGCCGACTCAAATGAAGAAACAATTTAAACAAGCCAGTGTGAGCATTTTAGAGCCACGATTAATGCTTCTCACCACTGTGTAGCAAGTGGTCATTTAAATATGCTTAAAATGTCAAACAGAACTGATTGCCTCATACTGGCTTTATTCTTACATACATTCTGCTCTTTAGAATATTATAATGAATGGCATTAACTCACATGACATTTCTTTTTCTAGACAGACAAAGCAGCAGCGAACCCATGCTGAGAACTTACACTTTGGACAGTCCTATTAAGAATAAGATTCCGGGGCTGGGGAGACAGCTTCTCGGGGAAGAGCACTGGCTGCCCTTCCAGATTAACCAGGTTCTATTCTCAGCACACACAGAAACTCACAACTGGATGTTAACTCAAGCTCCAGGGTATAAGATGCCCTCTTCTGGCCTCTGAGGGCATCAGGCAGGTACAAAGTGCACAGACACACATGCAGGCAAAAGACCCATACACATAAAATAATAAAATATAATTTTCTTAAAAAGAATCAAGTTCTTCTATAGTAGAGACAGCAGCTAACTCAAGAAACTCCTCAATACTCAAAGTGCTACAGGAACGTGTGACTACTGAGGGCTCAGCCCTATACAGGACATGTGTACCACACTCTCTCTGAAGCTCAGAGAGCATCATGGAAGAGGGAACAGAAAGAATTTAAGGGTGTGGGGGGGTGAGAAGTGCTGTTTCCTAGACATAACACGGCCGTACCCTCAAGACATCCCATCAGCTGTGATTATGGGCACAAGACTGTGCCTGTCAACATACCAACATGGATGGGGAGGAAACTGTGAGATACTACTCCTCCCTGAGCAACCACTACAGTAAGAAAGAGAGCCACGGTTTTCAGTGGTGTAGCCACTGGCAGGGTCCCCATGTTCCAGTAAACAACCCTAAACCCATGTTCATGTGAGCAAGCCTAAACTGAATGGGTTGCAAAACAATAAGTAAATAAATAAATAAATAAATGAATAAATAAATAAATAAAAAGACGTGAAACTAGGAGAGTGTGGAATCAATAGCAGTAAAAGTATTATTTTAAAAAGGGGGAGAGGTGAAACTTACCAAATAGATTTCCTAAGCTTGCATCCATTTTAATTTCAAATACTTGAGAAATAACATAAAATGTCAATAAAAATACTGCGACAGCCACCACCAACTTTGCAGCTCCTAGAAAAAAGGCAGAAGTAACTCAGCGTGGTTTTATAAGCCAACAGAATTTCTGCTACACAAATACTACATTTCCACAAAAGCATTAAGACGAACACAGTCCTGTTTTGTAATCTACTAGATCTCAGTGTTATTGGAGTTACAATGATTGCATGATACCCACAATCACAGACCTCTCAGACACAAGACAAGGTGGGGTGGTTTATCCACCAGCAGCTGCTTGCTGACTACAGGTGTCCTGCTGAGTGGAACTCCACTGCCATGTCTGCAGGACTACATAACTCTAATCCTTTGCAGTCCTAAAGAGCAGTGCCCTCTGGTAATGATACAAAACACTGGACCTGGAGATGCCAAGACCTGGACCTCCAGGAAATCAGGAGTTGAAGTGAAATATAGCAAGCTTACTGTCCTATCACCAACCCATCACCTGGAGCTATCTAACCCCATGGGGAACTGCAAACATTAACTTCTTCCTCTGGCTTAATACCTATTTACGACAGGACTTTGCCCATGGAGACAGGCTTCGCCATCACAGTGACTTGCTTACATGATAAGCTCCGTGAGGACACACTCTCAACTTTAGACTTTGCATCTTTATGGTGTCAGAGCACCTTACAATAGTATGAATTACCTCTTACTCTAAGCAGATCATAAAGGACTAGGTAAGAAAGGGAATGAACAACGCCAGAGCAGCAGTTTCCCTTCTAACCTCTGGATTTCAGACACAACGTGTTTATTTGGCAACAGTACTAGCGTATTCATGTCTACACAACCTCAATTGCCCATTCCTACTAATAGTTTAGGTTTAATCTCTACTGATATGAATGAGGTAGACAGAATCAGCAGCCATCTAACCTTAAAAAGAAAAAAAAATAATTCCAGAGATGAAGTAATGCTCTAAGATTACATATAAACCAGTGCCTGTACATGCAACAGAGTCCCCCTGCAAAAACCTAGTGGCCTGTACAGTAAATACATCATGCTAATACTAAATGACATACACTTCCGGGAAGGGGGGGTGGCACCAAATTCAATATAGTAGGTAAGAAAGAATTTAAAAAAAAAAAAATCATCTAATCTCATAGACCCACGAGAACAGTCTAGGTCCTCAGAGGGGAGGGCCAGAGGAAACTGAAGATGTTTGGAAAGGCTGATGATGCTGAAAGGCAGCCACACCCAGAGCCTCCTCAGGATATTTCCAGACCCTCTATTCATAGCTAAACATGAAGAGATATAAGAAAAATCTTGATACCTTCCTTCCAATTCAACTGGGAATCTAAAACTGCTCTAAAAACAGAGCCTTAACCAGTTCTACTAATACAGGAGTGAAGTGGCAATGAGTGCATCCAACTAACCCTTCTCACCTCCATCTCCTCACTTCTTCCCTCCAAAGGCTGCTCTTCCTGTTCTTTAGAGCCACAACTGGCTACTTGCATTTTTAGCATGTAAGAGCAAACTTCCTTTTGGTTTGGACTTCCTCCTCCCAGGATCTAGCTGAGTGTCTCATACAACGCAGTCTCTCACCACATATATGCTCAAGAAATGAATCACAGCAGGAGCACACACTGTTTTCATCATGGAAGACTGAGACCAGTGGCTTGGCAGTGACAGATTGCATGCTGGTCTTCTAGTTTATTTTCGAGCAACCATGGGCATGTGTAATAGGGGATAATCCCTCATTGTCTTCTAAAACAGGTAGCAGATAAATGAAGCTTGCATTGTTCAAGGCTGAAGTTGGATAGCACTGATCAGCGGCAGCACGGGGTCCTTTCTTTCTTAACACGTATGTAATGTATGTGTCAGTGGTTTTGCCTGAGTGTATGCACGTCAATGTGTGTGCCCAGGGCTCACGGAAGTCAGAAGAGGGTGTCAGATCCCCTGAATTAGTCACAGATGGTTGTGAGTCACTGTGTGGATACTGGGAACTGAGCCTGGGTCCTCAGGAGCAAAAGCGTCACTGAGGAGTGCTCTTACCCTCTGGCCCATCTCTCCAGCCCCAGCACTGAGTTTAAAACCAGGACCTGTTCACTTAATGCTGGTCTGGAACAAGGAAGAAACAGATGCTCCAAGAGACAGAAAAGTTAGCATCAGGGACACATAGTCTCTACAGTGGGAGAGTCCAGGAGCTTGCTATAGACTATTGGACCCAAAGTCCAATGCCAGCTTTGGAGGGGCTTATCATATGGCACCATGACTCCCATTCCTGACTTGGTGTGCCATTCCCTCCTTCTTCCTTCTAGCCACTGACAGCACTGTTTTGAGTCTGTTCCTACAGTTATAAGCTAAAGGTCATTACATTTAAGGCTACGGAAGCCTTTCAGAGAAACCAGAATTTAGAAGGTATTAATTAGTTCAAAGCAGTGAACTAGTAACTTATCCTCCTTATCTGTCCATTAAAGGCAGGGCCCCCCAGCCTATGCCAAGAAAAGATGAACATAAAAACTAGATGTGAAGATACTTTTACTGAAAATGAATTTGGAATTATGTGCAAAACAAGAACTTACTCTGGTCACTGCACGTAAACAGCTTATTTAAAAATCCTCAGGAGACCACGATTATAAATCGTTCGGCTGAACCCAAGACCATCCAGAAAGGAAAAACAAAGCAAAGCAAACAAGAGTCTCACATGTTTTGAAAAAAGCAAGTTCTTGGTTTCTGGAAACTTCTTCCCCCACAAAGGTCTAACTACTTAGAAATGATGCTTTGTAACTTCACAGCAGAGAGTCCAATTTTTCAATTTCTACAAAGCATTTGCAGCAACCGTCAGTTAATTTGGTTTTAATAATCACGTTGTTTGACCAACTCTGCTTGATTCTATATAATTATAAGCAAACAAAGAAGAGGGTTTTGTTTTGTTTTGTTTTTCCCCACCTGCCTTGGCTTCTGGCATCTCTGAGACTGTGAAAATCCTTGGTTTGCTTATAGAAAACAACAATTAAGAATAAGACTAAGTAATAAGATTTTGGAGGACCAACCTGCTTTCTTTCCCCTGTCACAGATTTAGCAGAGTTCCTCAGCGCAATGGCCTTTGGGGGTGGGGAGGCTGTGGCTGGAGGATTCACGTTGGAAACAAGAACAACCGAGTGTTCATGGATCTACCCTTCATAGATGCTTACTTATCAATACCTATGCTAACACTAGGGACACCTAGCAAGGACTTCCAATGCATATAGCGCACTACTTCAGATTGCTGTCAATGTTCTGGATTTCTATCTAAACTAATAATTCATAGCAAAACCACATTTTACTAAATTCTTCATGTACATTACACTTCACTGCACATAGGAGAGAGTTCTATTTTAGAATTCCTTTTTTTCTTGATGGCTAGATCTTAGCAAGAAAAAGCCAGTCTCCTTTGCATTTCCAAGATCATTCTTTATTTGAGTATTTTACATGGATTACTAGGCAAATAAGCTCACCACATAAGAGATGAACATTAATATTTGGAAGACTTTCAGTAAAAGATTTATCTACAAAAACCTATGTAATACGTACTAAACATACAAGTTGAGATTTGTTGATTACATAAAACAGAAAGTCTAAATTTGATTTAATTTACTTTGGCCTGGTACTCAACTTTCAGAAACATTATGGTATGGTGGCACCTGCATATAATCTCTAAATCAGGGACAGTTTGAATCAGTTTAGACAAGGAAACAAGACCCACCATAAAAGGGGGCTGGAAGGAGGAGAACGAAGAAGAATGGATGAATTATGAACCCTCTGCTTTCGTCATTATTGAGCAAACAGGTTATAAAGTAAATGATAAGATCAAAAATTATTTTCACTGGATTAAATAAATATCTTACCTGCTACCCTCATTTTTGCTTTTCCAGCCTATGGCACTTCTCACAAGTAAGGTCCTAAAAATCAAAAGAAAAAGCAAACAACATGGATTATTCGATGAATTGTCTTCCTTAGACGGAGCTTATTTTAGAATGTATGCATGAAACCAACTAAGTAAATATCATGACATTTCTAAGTATTCTATGCATAGCAAAAAAAAAAAAAAAGTCAGAAGAAGTTGCCTTGCTTGTGTCTCCCACTGTCCTTTGCTTCCTTCATGCCCCCTGCATACAGAGGTTAGCTATTACCCTCAGTGAGTTCACATCCGTTAGGAGCTCACAACATTCAGATTCAAACACTGGTTAGTTAACACGTCAGTAAGCCCTTTACTGAGTAACAGGAAACCATTGAGAAATGGTGGTTAGCTAGGCCGGTTCATTCCAGCACAGGACGCTACTTCATTTTTCATGTCGTGACTGGATATCACTGCTGAACACGCTCACACACAGCAAATGCTGGATTTAATACTAGATCCCTTTCGCGCTTTTTAATTCCCATAGGCAAAATAACATATCTAGAGGCTTAGAATTATAATTTTAAGTACTCCAGCAATTATCATTACTGACAGAATGTTATTCATCAAAGAAACTATTCTTTGATATTATTTTACCAGCTGACAACAATGCTAGAAAAAAAAAAGCCATGTGTGTGTGTGTGCTTTTCCTTCCTACAAAACAACTCAAAATGGAACTGTAAATAAGAATTCTATACCAAAGCCACACCCACATTCAGCTAGACAGTCAACGTTTTGTAAAGGAAGAGAATTCAAGGGTAGGTTTTAAATAATGGATTCTATTGATCAGAAATAAATTACTTCTATTGAAGGGACCAGCTCCCCATTTCGGCAGCCATAACAGCTGAACACGTGCTTGTCTGACCTTGCCTTGGTCACTAAGAGGTCAGATGCCTGCCTCATGGCAAGGAACCAATCAGAAGTTAGCTGGTGGCGCTATGCTTTACGGCTCTGGGTGTGCTTTACGGACAAGTGCACAGCAATGAAGTGCAGAGCGTAGCAACCACCCTGGGAGGGCCTATGGGCCATAACAACCAGTGGACTAATCAACACAGGGCAAAAACTCCAAGCCTGGAGGCACACCAATCCTGAGCCTGTGCGTACCCCTAGACACTCACTCCCCTTCCCTGCCCTACAAGATCTCTATGCAGACGCTTCAAGATGTCTTTCCTAGCCATCCGCCATGATGGGTGGATGGTGGAAAGGCCCCAGCTAACATGGGGTTAGCTCGTTAAACAACAATAATAAAATCTCATGCTGTTTGCATCAAGCTTTCGACTCCGCATGGTGATTGGGGTGACCGAGGTCCTGGGCTGGGATCCTGGGGGCCTGAGCTTCTGGGGGTCTTACACTATGATCTCTTGCACATGCACTGTGGCACACAGGTCTCCAAATACAAGCATATACACATATACACAGGCATGAACACACACATACTGATCTAATTAATACTTCACAGATAGTTCAAAAAAGAAAAAAGAAAACAAACAAACAAAAAAAACCTTTCCCCAAAGGACACTGAAAAGAATATCCAGTTTTCTCATTCATAGAAAAAGAAAGAGGATGGGGCCCAGCATAGCTCCCAATCCCCTATGTCCTCTGCTGGCTCCCTTTCTTCTGCAAAATCTAAGGGGGGGGGGGAGTTGAGAGACAATGACAAAAACACACACAAAGAAAACTAACACTTAACTGGGTTGTTCACTATTGGTATTTTTTTCCTTTGTTATCTATGTGAACACCTTGTATATTATAGTCAAAGTCAATACTATCTATTTAAAGTCCTTAGTCACCAGTTGGAATTCTATAAGAAAAGAAGAGATACTGAAAAGTATCCAAAAGACTTTACTAGATAAACGATGGGGGTGGGGTGGCTTCTCAAAAGAGAACTCCTACAGGTCATAAATCCTCTTCTGGCTGCCAGTGAAATTGAACTCTGCATTCATAACGCATGCATGGCCTTTCCTCCCCTTTCATATGCCAGAATAATTTCACTCCTATCTGAGTGTGGCCTAGGAAAATTTCTTTGGAAATGTGATAAGCAGTTTGGTACCAGACACCTGCTGTTCTATTTCAGCTTCCATTGCAGGCAGAGAGCACACCTGTATAATTACAGTCACCAGCCGCCTGCTCACTCTTCCCAGCAATTCTGCTTCTGAACTCATCACAGGCCGCTCTATAAGCAACTACATTTGTGAATACAATTGTTTTCCATTAAAATATCTTAGGGATTTAATATTTGGGAAAATTTCTACATTAAAATCTCACCAAAGTGCCTTAGTCATTAACACATCTTTAATTAATTTCCTTAATTAACTTTCTTGCATCTTTAATGATGCAAAAGTGTAAATCCGAAGAACAGGAATACTGAAAGAGATTTCAGGGCAAAAAATGGTGCCTGTTTATGATGTGCTAATTCCAAACCAAGCCTGGCTGTTTAGAGAGCATTTGAAGACTTACAACAATCTGAGATAGTGGAAGAATCAGCTCATGAAGACTTCAAGCAATCAAAGAGAGACAGGTCCAGAGGCAATGAACACAACACTGAAGGAATAAAAAGGCCGCGGCTAAAAACTCAGAATGCTAATCTACATAGTCGGTAAGAGGGAGAAACAGAAATTGGAACTAGTTGCCAAAACCAGAATATTAGTCATTGAGAATATTCCTAGAATAAATAAGCATGTAAATATTTAAGACAGGATACTTAAGAAATTCATTGCTCCAAAAATGTAAAGATAGACCAAAAACAAGTTTCCGAATTTTAGGTAGGTAAGGATGCTAAATGAAGGAAGGGTGCAATGTCACCTGAAAGTCAAATCAGGGAGGGCCACACTGGCTGGCCCCTGGGTGAAGGAGCATTGACCTGAAGTGTATAGTCAGTGTGAGGCCTAGGGTAAAGGAGAGAACCTAAAGCAGGAACTCGAGAGGCCAACCCCACTTATCTGGATGTTCTCATTAAACTTTTCCTTTACCCCAACTACATAGTTTTGTCCAAATATAATAATACGTTGTTACTCAAAATTGGGCTGCTATGTGAATATGGAGGACCTGTCTAGAATTCATTAAAATAAGGACAAAAGTAATAAAAGCACAGATCAAATGGCACCCCCATTCCTTCCCAGAGAAATAAAGTCTAAATTACAACACTGCCCTGTATCAAAGAAACAGGCCATAAAAAAAAAATAAAAAAAAAAATTACCAGGAAGGGCTGGCTGTCTTTCCCAGTTATCTTCCCACCAGCTCTCTAGTGGCCCTGGGTATTGTGATGGCCTTACAGAGGAGGAAGAGGGGTTTGTCTATAGTCCTGAGAAGAGTAGCAAGGACGCTCACAAACAAGCCTGGTCATTTCTCCTGCCACACACTGACTGATGTACCTGTTGACAAATACCATGCCAATCAATTTGGCTTTTGAAAATTGCTCTGGGAATTGCAGATCTCTGCTGCAAACTAGCCACTCCAGAGATTTGACGGTTTGTCAAACTGACTTCAGTACCACCTTAAGACAGAAACCAGGCAAGAAAATATGCACACAAATAAATACAGTAGCATGACACTAAAAATAAAATTAACCCAGCCAAAAGAAAATTTTGTGAAGTGTATTTCACAAAATAGAGAACTACCATTCACTTTAATCCATCGTCAAGTCAGTGCTAGCCAAATAACAATTTTAACCAAACCAACAAAATTATGCTCTCAATATTTAAGTGGGCTGGGGCTTCTCTTTTGTTATTTGACTTTTCTGTGATATGTATGGATGTTGTGCATATATGTCTGAGCACCGTGTGCATGCTGTGTCCACAGAGTTCAGAAGAGGGTGTCTGATCTCCCCGGGAACAGGAATTACAGAAGACTCTGAGCCTAGTGTGGTTGCTGGGGTGGGTGTGAACCCAGTTCCTCTGTAAGAACAAGCACTCTTAACTCCTGAGCTGTCTTTCCAGCCCCCTGGGAGCTGGAACTTTTCAAGAGACTTACATAAAAACAATGTCAGGCTACAAAACAATAGATGCAGACTACACTTTCACCCTCTTTATGATGGTGAATTTCATGTGCCAACCTGACAGGGCCACAAGCTGCCCATAAATAAACACCGTTCAGGGTGTGTCTGGGAGGACCTTCTGGGATGATTAGCGCCTGAATCTAGAAAGAGGGAAGCAAAGTGCCTTTCTCAAGGGGGCTCCAATCCAGACCTGACAGCATGGGTGCTGCTGTCTAGCCTCATGCAGGTGAGCTTCCATCCATAGTTCCTGGCCCCTAACTCCATCCCACAAAGCAGGAAGGATGTCAGACTTATCCAGTTATCTGTTACTCAAGAAAACAACTTCTCTTCCCCCACTGCAAGAGATAGAAACCTCATCTACTTGTCTGTGTTGATGCTAGCCACAAATAACCTTTCTGAGAAGCTCTGACTGGCAGGTCACAAGACCCTCCTCACTCCCGAGGACTGCTGCTGAAGACAAGATGAATGGGTGGCTTCCCCATTCAGTCTACTGGCCTTAGCTCATTTCCTTTTTGTCCAACCACATTTCAACACAGCTGCCTGTGCTTCAGTCATGCCTATGTATGAATTCTCACAAAACCCCACAGGTCAGGGCCCAGAAGGCTTCCACAGGGCACAATGCTGAGGTTCCTGGGGAGTGGTTCACCGAAAAAGGGCAGGGAACAATGACACCCCCCACCATTTTCCCATACCATAACCTCTGCACCTGTTCACGAGTGTTGTTTGTAACAGCCTATAACGCAGTGAACGTTAAGTATAAACCACTCAACTTACCTGAGCCTCAGAAGGGGCTGTGGGGGGCCCTGGTTATAACTGGTCCAGCAGTTATTGTAATTGGCATTAAAAATGGGATAAGTAGTCTATGAGATCTGACACTGTCTCCAAGTACATCAGAGGACACCCACCAGGAATCTAATGCAGATCTCATTTGTTTTCTGGTTGGGAGAACTTCCATCACCTTTGAGGACACATCTTTTGCATTTATCCTGATATCTGAGTGGAGGAAGAAA